GTCTTTTCCTTCACCAAGACAGGGAAGTTTTCTGTCACTATTTCTTCAAATATATTCTCTAACCCTTGCTTATTTTCTTGTTCTTCTGGCATACCTGTTATGCAGATGTTGTTACATTTCATGTTGTCCCATAGTTCTCTTAGACTGTCTTCCTGTTTTTTTAATTTTTTTTCTTTTTGTTTTCTGATTGGGTGATTTTTTTCTACCCTGTCTTCTTCTTCTTTTTTTTAAATCCTTACCTGAGGATATTCTTCCATTTATCTTCAGATAGAGTAAGAGTGAGGGAGAGAGAGAGAGAAACATCGATGTGAGAGAGCCACATCGACTGGTTGCCTTCTGCATGACCCAAGCCAGAGCCAGGTATGAACCACAAGTGAGGTACGTGCTCTTGGCCACAGTCGAACCCGTGACTCATTGGTCTGTGGACTGAAGCTCTAACTGCTGAGCCAAACTTGCCAGGGCTCTACCCAGTCTTCTAATTCATTGATCTCGTCCTCCGCTTCCTGTTCTCTGCTGGTTATTCTTTCCTATGTGTTCTTTATTTCTGCTATGTCAATCGTCATTTCCAGTTGGTTGGTTTTCAATGTTTCTGTATCTTTACTCATGCTGTTGAGCTTCCTCATGATTATTACTTTGAACTGTCCTTCTTATATCTTGCAGAATTATCTTGTTTTTTCATTTGGGATTTGTTTCTTTGTTTCACCATTTTGGCTGTCTCAGTGTGTTTTGCAGCCAGCCAAATTTTTCCTGTGGGTGTTGGTGTTCTGCTGGTTGTGGCTTCCTCTACTGGGTTTGGATGAGTGTGGGAGGACCCATGTTAAATAGCACTGTCAAGTCTTACTTTCTGGGTAAATTTTCAAGCCAAGTAGAGGTTCAGTTATCCTCTAGCTTTTTGCCTGGGCACTATTAGTCTCAGTTATTTGATGAGCCTAGATTTGTATCCCACAGCTGAATAAAAAAATCCCTCCACTGTAAGAGGATTTCCTTGGGATGGGTCACTAGCTCCACTATCAGGCTTTGAATGTTAAAGAGCCTCAATCTGCATTTCTTTGGCCTGGCCTGGTGGTGTTGAATTCGTGTGGGAGGGGCCATTGCTTCTCCCCTGGGCTCTGGGAAGGGGCTCTTTGAGTAAAATGGCTCCTGTGCTGTGAGGGAGTGATTTAGTACAAGACTCATCCCATCCAGCTGTCCACTCTCTCCTGAGCCAGGAGCCCCGGACTCTCTCCACACAGTTCCAGTCCAGTCCACTCTCCCTCTGCCGGAGCCCAAGGTGATTGGCTCTATCTAGCTGATCTGGTGCTTTTAAAACCCCCACTTTCTCAGCAAGAAGTGCACACCACTAATCCAGCTGTCTACTGCTGTCTGTGGGCTCCTGCCCTCACATGCCTCTGCAGTTCCTACCAGGTTCAATTTGGCATCCTCTCTCCGTCCCTGGTTGTACTGGCTTTCTTCCAGCTGCTCTTCAGTTGGTTTCCCCCCATGTTTTGTCTTTATTCTAGTTTTCATTCCAGTTTGGTCCTGGGAGATGGTTGTAGCTTCCATTCACTCCACTGCCATCTCTGTTCTGATGAAATTATTCTTAACTTTGTTGTTCGTGATAGAAAACTTAATCATAATGCGGAAAAGTCATCAAGCATAGATAATGGAAATGTCTAGAAGGACATCCATGGAATGGCTACTAGTAGTTATCTTTGGGAGAGATTGGGTTAGGTCAGGTGTAAAAAGGGACTTTTTGAGTTTGCTTTTCTTAAAAACATAAAGGTAAATAATCCAAAAAATAAATAAATTTATAATATAATACCCATCTCATCTATTTTTTTTTTCTTTATTGATTTTAGAGAGAGAGGAAGGGAGAGGGAGAGAGAGGTAGAAACATCGATGAGAGAGAAAATCATTTGATTTCCTCCTGCATGCCCCCCACTGGGGATTGGGCCCACATCCTGGGCATGTGCTCTGACCAGGAATCGAACTGATGACCTCTTGATGCATGTGTCTACACTCAACCACAGAGCCACACTGGCCGGGCACCCATCTCATCTTTTTATACACTTCTTGGATTATCTAGTAGAAAGGATATCTTACATGTCAGTTCATATGAAAGTTATTTCAGTTTTGTAGAATTGGAAGCATCATTTTGCTTTGGAAATGAAAATAGTTTATAGATATATCATTGGCAATAGATTTACCTCATTTGGTTACAGATCCTTAAGTTGAATAAATTATGTGAACAAGAATATGTGTAAAGGTAGTTGTAAAGCCCTTTTCAAATAGAAAACATCATAACATTATTACTCTTGGTAATTTAGTAAAGCAATTGGAAACTGCTGTATGAACAGTTTCCCACATTGAGCTACTGCAAAAAGAAAGAACTACTTAGAGTAAATTGAAGCAGTAAAGTGTTAATGTAATGCTCTTGAATATAGAGACTTATCTTTAATAAATTTCCAGGATTCTGATACTGTTTCACTGCACATTATTGATCTTAAGTTATTTATTCAGGCTTCAGTGCTTACCTGTGTGGTTGCACTTTGACCGGTTTCCACTTGGGGGTGGTATTTGATTGCACAATTGAACAAGTCTTCACTTAAATACTGCATTTGCCAGCTTGCTTTTGAATATTCCCTTGCTTAGTTAAAAAGGGTCTTAAAAGACTTTTGGCTGAATGTCTTAAAATCTTGATTTTTTTGCTGGTTGTTTCCTTGTGATTTGCATGGAAATGAACAATTAGTAGGAATGTAGTCTTAAATCTTACCCTTTTCTTTTCTCTCTTGTGGAAAACGTAAGCCTCTTTCCATTATTTTGTGTGTTCACAGCATTCCTTTACATACAGAAAGACTGATAAGACTATATTGTTAGAAAAAAATATACCCCAGTCCACGTTTTGAAAAACAAGTTAAATAAAAACACACTGATTTAGCCAATTTTCAGTGTGGCTAGGCATTTGCTTTTTCACTGTATTATCTGTACTACCCAATCCCACTTGCAGCTCTCATTCCTGTCCAAAAAAAAAAAAGTCATACCTGGCCAGTGTGGCTCAGTTGGCTGAATGTCGTCCCATGCACCAGGAGGTCACTGGTTTGATTTCTGGTCAGGGCACACGCCAGGGGTACGCTGGCTCGATCCCTAGTAGGGGGTGTGCAGAAGGCAGCAGATGGATGTTTTTCTCTCACATTGGTGTTTCTCTGTCTCTCTCTTCTTTCCTCATTCTCTAAAATCATTGAAAACATACTTAAAAGAGCCATTCTTCAGAAGAAAATATATGTTGTTCTTTTTTTCAGGTGTGGTAATCATTAACTAATATTAAAAGACTTTAAAATTTAGTGTATGCCACCATACCATTTATTATTTAATATATTTTGTTATATTCCTAAAAATCTATGTAATAACCGTATAAAATGATCTTTTTAAAATGCAAATTAATGTTTTGTCCCTAGTTTGTTTGTTTTTTAAATTCTGGCATTGATCCATGTATCTTTTTATTAGTTTTTGCATGTTATTTCATAAATTTTGCCTTAAATTATTGTGTAAATTAGCTTTGTTATCTGTTCCTATTATTTAGTTATGTTGGCCTTTATTTACTTTATGCTAAAGTTTACTGTACATTACAGGATTCTATAAACTCTTTAAGATGTACCGTTTTTATTCTTGTACATCTAGGTGTTCCTCTGTCCTCTGTAAGTTTCCTTGCAAATAGTACATGCTCAATTAATGTTTATATTTATATAATTGGTTATGTGGTAAGTGTACTCAGTTAAATGTATAAAGATGGAGTCATAGTGTAAATTAGTGACTGAACATATATTAATTCTGTATGTAATATTGACCTTTTAACAGTTTTATTTATTTCATTGTAGATTATGGCATATACATTTTATAAAATTTATAAGTTGCTTCTCCAATAGTTTAAAATCATGCTTGTTCTTTATCACCATTCCTGTGGCTTCCTTGATCTAGAGAAGATATTTCACATTGTGTTTTTAACTTTTTTTTTTAAACTGTGGTAAGAACATTTAATATGAGGTCTACCCTCTTAACAAATCATTCATTCATTCATTCATTTACTTTCTTACTTACTTATTTATGTTTATCCTTACCTGAGGATATTTTTCCATTTTTTTGTGCAGATAGAATGGGAGGGAGAGAGAGGAAGAGAGAGAGAGAGAAATATCGACGTGAAAGGGACACATCGAGTGGCTGCCACCCACACGACCCAGCCAGGGCCGGGGACAAACTGCAACCAAGGCAGGTGCCCTTAGTGGGAACTGAACCCAGTCTCTCTGGACCGCAGGCCGACGCTCCAACCGCTGAGCCATACTGACCAGGGCTTAACAAATTTTTAAGTGTACATTAGTTCCTCCTTATTCATGGTTCCACTTTCCACAGTTTCAGTTACATGCAATCAACCAGTCTGAAACTATTAAATGGAAAAATTCCAGAAATAAACATACGTCATTGTGTGTTTAATCTTTGTGGTTTTTTTTTTTTTTTTGCTTATGATTACGTTTTATTTTTTTGAAAATATATATTTTTTCATTTAAAAAAGTCTTTATTGTTGTATTACAGATGTTCTCCCTTTTCCATCCATTGATCCCCTCCTCCCCACTCTCATCCCCTCCTGCTTTCTCCGCACTAGTCTGTGTTCATTGGTTGTACATATTTATGTATTTAATCTTAAAGTGATCTTTAGGTTTCTTCTTTTCTTTCTTTTTGCTAAAAATGGATCGAATCGTGTTCTGTTTCTTATTTTAAAAGCAAAATCATTGTCAAATTAAACATTTTCTGACAAACCTGTGTTTAAATATTTTTGCCGCTGCTTCCTCTATATTTAAAAACAAAGAGGTGTGTTTTGCATGTATATACCTCATGATGCGTTTAGTAAGATGGGGATGGGATAGGACGGAATTGGGCAGATGACCGAAGAAATACACTAATAGTTTTATTTTAACTCATACTTTGAAAGTCTAGAAATGAAATCATGTTTGTTTGTTTTTGCATTGCAGTGAATGATTTAGGAGGGGACTTCAAGGGAGTTGGTAAAAGCTCCTTAGCTGCTGATAAGGTTGTTGAAGAAATAAGAAGGAAAGGCGGAAAAGCAGTGGCCAACTATGGTATGGTATTTGAGAGAACTACACTATTTTAAAATTTTTCCTTCAACTAATACTATTGCACATGTTAATAATCATTGAGCAATTATTTCTGCAGTCCAGTATAATTATGAAATTAGATTTTATCTAAGTCAGACAAAGCTGTTTGGCTATATGTTTTATATAATGTAAAACTTTTGATGTAGATTATTTCACAAGTCTAACTTTCATTCTATTGCTTATTTAATTTCTTACTAATAAGCACATGATATAATCAGTAAATTATTGTAGATGCATATATGAATATGTTCTTGTTCTTAAAAGACCTGTTTTGTCTATAAAAGGTCTTATGTATTTCTACAGAATAACATTAAATTCTTCTTTTAAAATTGTTTAAAAATTTTTGAAGAGTAATATGGTATTAGAAGTAAAATGCCCCCTTTCTGTACCCAACCTCCATGTTCCATTGTGCACAAGTGATCATTGCTATGTGTAATTTCTTATCTTTATAAATACTTAAGAGTCAAAGTTAGGCATTAATATGAAGCCACAAGAAAAACAGCAAATACGACCTTTACATTTTATGTATTGATTCTAATAGTATTTGTAAGGAAACATCTTGCATAGATTTACTTTAAAAAGCTAGTGCTTGCTGATTTTTCTGCAAATTAAATTGTTTTTATGGGGCAGGGATTAAATTAGATGGCCAGTGACTTCATTTTGAAATGTTAGAGGAAAGGAAATAGGATATGATTTATTTTGAGTGTTTGAGGGAATATGAGACAGACATTTCAGTATCTTTCCACATTAAGGCTCAAAATGTTTTCAACCTTTTTTTTTTTTTTTTTAATTTGAGGGTTTTAAAAATCTATTTTATAAAGATAAAAATTCCAGACCCTCCCTGCGTCCCAGTTTTGATACACAGCCTGTGTCAATCAGGATTCTGTCAGGAAAACAGAAGCTCCTCCAGGTTTTCCAGGTGTGAGGGTTTTCGTACAGAGAACCGGAGGATCATATAACCATTGAAGGGCTGGGGAAGTGCATGTCGGAGACTGTCGATGTCCATCTTCGCCTGCAGCAGGTGGCAGTAGATGTGCTGTCATCTTATATCTTCTCTTGAGACTGCCTGCATCTGTAGGCTTTTCCTACGTTTTCATGCTTTAGGTGATTATCTAACTCAGTTCTATATATGTCCCAGAGAAGGGACTGTATTTCCTGGATCTTCCCCTGTGATTCCAGAGACTATAGAAAGAGGCAGTGGTGAATGTTGAGTTGACAGCTGACCATTTGACACACAATTCTGGGGATCTGAACCCTTCCTCTCAGCTGATTAGCAGAAAATAATGAAGCCATACTATTTTGTCAAGCCTTACTTTTTATGGTTAGTATTACAAAAACAGGTTTATTTTTCATATGTAGTTATTATATAGTGTTGAACATTCTTTTTCAAATTAAATATGCACCTTCTTCTCTCCCTCCCAAATTCTGATTTGTATCCTTCAGGGGAAATGTTTATGGGGCTATTAAAGTTAAATATACAGGGTGGGGCAAAAGTAGTTTTATAGTTGTTCATACGGAAGGTAATACAATAATTAAGAAATAAGAATACAAGAATAAACTCTGTGTTTCATGTACTCATAACTATAAACTTACTTTTGCCCAAGCCTGTATATTAAATAAATGAAATATTCAATTTGTTGCCTAGCCACTTTTTAAGTACTCAATAGCCACATGTGGTTAGTGTCTTCAGCATTAGTACAGAAATAGGACATTTTCATCTTCACCAAAAGTGATATTGGACAGTATTATTTTAGATTGTATTTGCAAAATATTTCTTACTTATCCCCTCTCCCCCCCCCCTTTTTATTGTAGGTGAAAGAATTATCTTAGGGGCTAATTTTTTATAACATTAGATCATCTATATTTTGATTTATTATATGCCTGCAATATAAATGTATTTTTCTTGGAAATGAATTCTGTTGAGTGAATAGTATTTGTCATATGCTTTGATCCACAGAATTTAGAAATTGTCCTGGCCAGGTTGCTCAGGTGCTTAGAGTGTTGTCCTGCTAGGCCAAGGTTGCAGGTTCGATCCTCAGTCAGGGGACATACAAGAATCTGCTGATGGATGCATAAATAAGTGAAACAACAAATTGGTGCCCCCCTCCTCCCCCTCCACCTTCCTCTCTCTGTCTCAAATCAATAAATAAAAATAAAAATAAAGAATTTAGAAACCATTTCAAGAGATATTACTGAAGTTTTGTACTAATTTCCTTTTCAGACTCAGTGGAAGCAGGAGAGAAGGTTGTGAAGACGGCACTGGATGCTTTTGGAAGAATAGGTGATGTTTCTTTGCACTTATGGCACTAACAGAGCAGCCACTACCTTCCTAATAAAATATTTTTTATTTTACTTTTATTTACTAAAAACTTCTTTTTCTTGATAATCAAGTATTTAGACTTATTTAAAAAATTGATTACGGTACATAACCTACCTTATTCCACAAAGGGCTTGAGGTGTGACACTTTTTATGTATATATGTGTTTTGTTTTATATTTTTCTGCACTTCAGTAGCTTTTAAAAACTTATAATCATTCTCTCAGTCCCCTTTTTACAATAATTTAATTATACCCCAAATACATTTATAAAATAAAAAAATAAAAACATATTTTAGCAATAGAGGACCCAGTGGAATCTTTTGGATAGTTATAATGGTTTAAATTAAAATGATTTAGTATTTTGCAAATTAATTAAGATGAATTATATACAGTTGACCCTTAAAACAATGTGGTAGTTTGGGGTGCTGACCCCCCATGCAGTTGAAAATTTATGCATAACTTTTGACTCCCCAAACACCTAACTACTAGTTGTCTATTGATAATATAAGCAATTAACATGTATTTTGTATATTATATGTATTATATACTGTATTTGTACAATGAAGTAAGCTAGAGAGAAGCACATGTTGTTAAAACCATAAGGGACAGAAAATACATTACAATACTATACCATATTTATTGATGTTGTAAGTTTGTGTCAACTGTTTACAAGATGAATTGTCTGTAAGTACCTATATTAATATTGTCTTATATGATACAGAACACTGTGTTATATGTATTATGAATACTAGACATTAAAATGAAAAGATAATGTGAAAGAAATTCATATTTGCAGGTATAAAGATTCATACATTGACAATGAAAAAGTAGCAATATGATTGATGGTGTAATCAATATGATTACTTCAAAGTAGCCTACCCTATACACACTAATGACTGGTTATAAGATTTTTATGGTATATAGTTAGATTCATGATACAGTATTGGAAACATTGTTACATTTTTCAGAAACCACTTACCTATGATGATAGGCTGATATTTAGTTTCTCCAATTAGAGAGGTCCATACTTTAAGGTAATATAATTTTTTGAAAGACAGTGTTATAAAATAGTAAGAAAACTAACACATTACTAATTTCATATTGGATATCACTCACCTTATGTGTGTGTAAGGATAGGCTGTCCACTTCTATACAAGTCTTGCACAGTGTTTTACGTGATGAATACTTAGGCCGTGACGATGACAAAAATGTCACATACAGTTCTTGCTGTATATTTGTACGCACGCACGCACACACACAAGTTTATTAACTGTGTCATGGTGGTTATTTACTGTTCATTTAGTGGAAGTGAACAAGCATGAAGGTCTTCATCCTCGTCTTTATGTTGAGTGGGCTGAGGAGGAGGAGGAAGTGGAGGGTTGGTCTTGCTGCCTCGGGTGACTGGGGTGGAAAAGGTGGAGGACTTGGAAGGAGGGGCAGGCACGCTAGTGTAACTTTATGGAAATACATGATCATTTCCGACTTTTACATTTTCATCTCTTTAAAAATGTTTCTATATGGTACCGTCCTTCTTCCACCATTTGCTTTAGTTTCAGTGCCCATATCATTGAAGGGTCTGTGTCGTAAAAGAAGTCTAAAGCAGTCTTGAGTAATTGGAACCCTTCTGCCAGATCTGTCTCATGTCGGTTTGTCTGGGCACTGCTTGTTTCACACCTTCTGCCTCACTGCCTGGCACTGATACTCATGAAGTTGTCTTCTGTTAATTCCTTTGGTGTGGTGTCTGTTAGCTCTTAAATTTCTACAAGATCCAGATCTTGAAATACCCCCCCCCCCCCGCCATACACACACCCCTTCTTTGCCATATCCACAATCTCTTTCATGCTTTCCTGGATTGGGTCTGTTGTGAATCCTGTGAAGTCCTGCACAACATTTGGACACAGTTTTCCCCAGCAGGATTGATTGTTTCGGGCCCGATAGCTTTCAGTGGCTTTTTCTGTAACAGCGATGGCATCTTCAGTGGTGTAATTCTTTCAGACTTTCATGAGGGTCTCTCTGTCAGGGTTTTCTTCGAGAGTGCTGACAATTCTTTCCATAGAATATTGTGTATAATGAGCCTTACATGTTAAGGCTTAATTGGAGACATTGTGTTAGGGAGCAAGTAGACTACCTTCATCAACTTTGACATTGAACTCATGGGGTTCTTGGTGGTGAGGGGCATTACCCAATATTCAAAGAACTTTAAAAGGCAGGCCCTTACTAGCAAGATACTTCCTAACTTCAGGGACAAAGTGTTGATGAAACCAGTCCAGAAAAAGGATTCTCATAGTCCAGGCCTTACTGTTGTACAACCACAAGGCTGGCAGCTGATGCTTATCTTTCCCTTCAGGGCATGGGATTTAGCAGCTTTATAGGTGGGGGCAGTCCTGATGCCTGACTGCATTTGCACAAAATAGTAGTTAGCTGTGCCTTCCTGCCTCAAATGATGATGCGCATTTCTCTTCCTTACTTTTGTGGCATTTGTTTTTTCCAGAATAGAGCACTGTCATTTGCATTAAAAACCTGTTCAAGCAGATATTCTTTCTTCTCTGTGATTTTCTTAATGGTATCTGGGAACCTGTCTGCTGCCTCTTGGTCAACAGAAGCTGCTTCTCGTGTTATCTTGATACATTTTAAGCCAAACCTCTTTCTAAAATTATCAGACCATCCTTTGCTGGCATTAAAGTCTCCAGCTTTGGATCCTTCATCATCCGTTGGCTCTAAGTTGTCATGTCATGAGTTTGGTTTTCCCCAAGTCACAGTAGTGTCTGTAGTCATGCCTTTCTCACAGCAGGCCTTCACCCTCATACAAGCTGCATTTTCAATACAAGATAACAAGGTGTTTTACAAACAGTGCAAAGTTTTCACGACTGCTGATGTAGCTGCAGTGACAGCTTCATGAATGTCCTTTTTTTTTTTTTTTTTTTTAGCAATGGTCCTTATGCTGGATTCATTCATCTTGAAATGTAGGCAGCCGCAGTTAGAGCTTTCAATTTATGGTACATATTAAGCAATTTAACTTAAAAAATGTTTAGATAGAATACTTTATTCAAACCCATCAGAGAAATGGGTAGGTTGGGTCTGTAACAATGCGTCATGTTTTAAAGCATGGGCCAGTAATCATATATGAGAGTATATACTGCTGCATACAAATTAACTCATCAGACCACAACTTTTCAGTGTTTAAAACAGAATAAGCTTCCCTATAAAAGCAGCACCTTTGTGAAATTTTAACTTTATTCCTCTCCTTCCTCACCCTCTCCTTTAACAGGATCCACACCCACCTCCCTATAATCCTTCTCAAGGGCAGCCATGTCCTCACAGGCCTCAGATGACTCTCCTTCCTCCATGCCCTCACCCACATACCAGTGGACAAAGGCATGCTGGGCACACCTCAGGTCAAACCTGAGGTCCAGGCGAGCCCAGGCCTCAGCAGTAGCTGTGGTGTCGCTCAGCATGCACACAGCTCGCTGTACTTTGGCCAGGTCTCCGCCTGATACCACAGTGGGGGGCTGGTAATTAATGCCAACTTTGAAGCCAGTGGGGCACCAGTCCACACACTGGATGGTACGCTTGGTCTTGATGGTGGCGATGGCAGAATTGACACATGTTTGGAGATCATGTCACTTCAGTACAACAGGCAGCAAGCCATGTATTTACCATGGTGAGGGTCACATTTCACCACCTGGTTGGCTGGCTCATAGCACACACTGGTGACCTCTGCTCCAGAGGCTGTTCCTGGTGGGCTCTCTCAGCAGAGATGACAGGGGCATATGTGGCCACAGGGAAGTGGATGCAGGGATAGGGCATCAGGTTGGTCTGGAATTCTGTCTGATCAACATTCAGGGCTCCATCAAACCTGGGGAAGCAGTGATGGAGGACACAATTGGACCTGTCACCCTATTCAGGTTAGTGTAGGTTGGGTGCCCAGTGTCTAGGTTTCTATGACAGATGTTGTAGATGGCCTCATTGTCAACCATGAAGGTACAATCAGAGTGCCCCAGCGTGGTAGGATGAGTTGTGGGGCTCAACTACAGCCGTGGAAACCTGTGGGGCTGGGTAAATGAACTCCAGCTTGGACATATTGTCACAATCACAGAAAGACATTCCATCAGCAGGAAGGAGAGCTCAGAGCCAGGTCTAGCACCACAGATGTGGAAACCAAGAAGCCCTCAAGACCTGTGCACTGGCCAGCCAGTTTCCAAACTCAGTCCAGGATGAGGTCAATGATCTCCTTGCCAGTTGTGTAGCACCACAGGCATAGTTGTTGACAGCATCTTTCTTGCCTGCAATCAGCTTAGGGTGGAAGAGCTGGCGATAGGAGCCAGTGTGAACGTCCGTCATCCATGACTGTGGGTTCCAGGGCTCCAGACACTGCCCTGGGCATATGCTGGCCAGCGCCTGTCTCACTGAAGAAGGTGTTGAAGAAGTCATCTCCCCCCACAGTGGTCTTTTCACTTGGCATCTGGCCATCGGGCTGGATGCCATGTTCCAGGCCGTAGTGCTTCCAGCAGGCATTGCTGATCTGGACACCAGCCTGGCCAGTGTGGGTGGAGACGTACTCACGTATGGTTGTGGCTTTGCGGCTGCCAAGCAGATGAGCAGACCAAAGAGAAAAGTTACTGCTTCTTAAGGTGTGACTCCTAGGCAGCTGATGTAAGAGAATTTGCTTACCTTTTTCTTATCTCGTGACCTTTTGCTGCTTCTTGGGAGCACTCCAGCATCAATAGTGGTGCTTCATATGGGTCCCATGGTGTTATTCAGGTTTATAGTATTGCACTAAAAAGTGAAAAATGCAGGAGAACCATGAGAGATCACTTTTTACTGCTGTTTGCTGAAGAGAGGCACTTCTCATGCAGAGCGATTAGCATCACATGGCATTTTAATTGGATACTTGCAACACTTGATCTCACTGCAACAGCAACAGGAGGTGGCTAGAAAATCGTTATAGTAGTACAGAATGTACTACAGTTAATTTTATGCAGTTATGTAATTGTGTATCTTTACGATTATTTGCTTTTCTCTTCTGTGAATGACAGCACGTATGGTCTGTGTTTGTGTGCATGTTTTGGTAAATTTTAACTTTTTTAATAGACTTGTATATATTTTTTGGTAATGATAAGTTGACTACTATTATTTATATATATTTTATATATTCATGCATGAAATATCTTACTTTTTCTTAAGTGTTCTTGATATTTCTAGGCTATGTGGTTTGTCTGCAAGTTTTTTTCACATTGTGGCAAATCTATAGAAGTTTCTCTAATATATTTATTGAAAAAAAAATCTATATGTAAGTGGACCTGCGCAGTTCAAAACCATGTTGTTTAAGGGTCAACTGTATAATGAAAATTTTTTTTTATGAAGCATTCCAATATATTGTTTAGTTCACTCTCCTCTAGATAATCTTTCTGGTTTAGTTCCACACAATTTTAATAAGAGATTGATTATTAAATTCTTGAGAGAAACATTTCTACAAATAAGCCCAACATGTTTACAATCTGAAAGACATTTTTTTATAATTTGAATGTACTCCCCCCTTTTAATTGTTTATTTATTTTTCTAGTCCTGTGTGGTTGAGCTGGTAAGAGACATGTTCACATGAGTGTGACAGAGGGATAGAGATCACAAAGGTGGGAAGTCATAAGGTGAAAATAGCTACATGATGGTGGTTCACCTTAAAAAGTATAATTTGTTGTCATAAGAAGAATACTATTGTGTGTTAAGACAAGACATCAGTTTCTAACTCTAATGGTTTTTTCTGGGCTTTTGACTTTTGAGTGGCAAGAAAAAATCTTAAGCTTTTAACTTTGAGTGAATGAAGTTAAACGAGGAATAGCTGGTGGTTACCACTGAATCCTAAGAACCTAAGAGATGTGCAATAGCTAATTCTATAAATAAGATGATAGAATTTCAGCAGAGGTGGAAAAATTTAGATATGTAAGTTTGAGAGCAAAGCATTGACATAATGTGGTATTTGCTGTGGTTTTGTGAATCAGATTTTTTTTTCTATAGGTATAAAATTTTGTTCTGATAGCACTCTTTACCAGTTATATATATACACTTTCCCTTGTGGGGGAAAACCGATTTGAAATGTAAGTTTTAAGCAAATGCAAATTAATATGCTTGCTGGTATTTGTGACCTGGATCTTTTTATGTTGCAGATGTTGTGATTAACAATGCTGGGTGAGTATTTCTTTTTTCATTTTTAGTGAAGTAATCTGCATGCAAAGTTTTTTTTTAAAATTGTATATTTTATCCTCTCTTAACTGATATAATATCGATTTTTTTAGAATTCTGAGGGACCGTTCCTTTAGTAGAATAAGTGATGAAGACTGGGGTAAGTTGTTTTTAATACATGTCTCTGTAGAATACACCTATCCATTTAGCCTTTTAATGTTTGATAAATTTATACATTAAAGGAAAAACTTGCTTTTATCTACTTTTGCTAATGTAAGTGATAGATAAGCTATATAACTGAAAATGAATGCTTGGAAATAAACTATTTTTCTAAACTTTTGAGAAACTTTTAAAAATTTAAATCAGTTGTCAGAAGTTACTCAGAAGGATTTTGTGCCTTTTTGTTTTTCCCCTTTTTGTCCTTGAGAAGTTGTCAGTATTTTCTAGCAGCATTAACTTTTTCTAGCAGCCTTTAGTATGCTTATCTGGCTGTGTAATTCTTATTTCAAGAGCAGGAGCAGGGTATGGAAGGGAGCCCGGGGCACTAAAAATGATGGAGAACCTAGTACTGCATGGGGAAAACCTAGATGTAATTTTGAAGCTTCTAATAAGTAGGAAAATTTTCCATTAAGAATGTCACATTGGAAAGATTCAGTTTAGATAATGAACAAATCACAGTTATGAAAAAAATACTTTTCTTTCTTTTTGCTCTTCTTTGCCCTTGCTTTCATTGGCCATCAGAACTAAAACAGTGGTGACTGAGACAGGGGCAGGCATGGTAACTGCGGTGAAGCCTATCGTTGTTTGTAGTGTGTGCTTCTAGGGAATACTGCCACAAGTTCTTTTGGGAGAAGCAAAGTATCTTTGTGACTTAAGCTAAGAAGGGCTTTCAGTTTCCTCTTTCCTTGTAAGAACTGGGGTAAGAAAGAAGCTGAGAAAGAAAAGATTTGTTGGCAGCGGGGCTTACGTTTGCACTTTCCTTTGAACTCTGGTTGGGCTGGGTGTTTCCTCCTCTGGTTTCATCCAGAGCTCACCACTCCTAACTGCCCTCCCTCCCCCACCCTTTTAAGTTCCTTTTTTCACTCGTACATTATTCTTTTAATATATAAATGAAAACATTTGATGAGGCCCCAATTTAAAACAGAGGTAAGTAAGTATGGTTAAACACTTAATAATTAAAATAATCAAATTAAATCTAAATAAATTGAGTTGAAAATGAAATCTAGAAGTTTTTGTCTATCAGAATCATTCTCCAGGTTGTCGATTCATTAGATTAACATCTCTAAAAACAGATAGGCTTCTCTGTCTTCCTCTTCTCTCCTTCCGGTCCTCTGTTTTCTACCCACACCCCGCTTCTCTCTTAACTCATTTATAAACCCTGGGAAAAATAGGGATGTAGGGATTTACTGAGCATTTTTAAACATTTCTTGACGATGAACTGTGTGGGTTATGATTATGCTTTAGCTAATGTTTATGTTTAGTCCCAACTATATATGTGAATTTTTTGAATGTTGTATTAGTGAATTTTTTTTTATAAAGTAGGCATAAATTAAAGATGGCATTGTATTTAGATATGTTCAGGGATTTCAATAATTTTATCATAAATTATAGGCAAAACAGGTATGAAAATTGATTGGTTTCATAATTGGTACAAAAGTAAAAATGTTTACTCAGAGAGTGGTGTGACATTTGTTTATTTTAATGCTAAGTATAAAATGAACATCTATTTATAAGTAAATCATTACTTATGTTGATTCTGAGACATGTCTATTGGAATTTTTGACAAAATATATAATGAAAATATTTTCTTGTTTTAGATATAATTCATAAAGTTCATTTGCGGGGCTCATTCCAAGTGACCCGGGCAGCATGGGATAACATGAAGAAACAGAAATTTGGAAGGTAGGGTTGCATATGGCTTTCAAGGGTAGATTAGAGATGTGTGTGGGTTCTTGTGTACAGGGAATGATAGTTGCTTTGACACTGAGGAAAACATCTTCAGATATGCGTAGGCTTTTTAAATGTAGTTTTGGCACATACCCTCTTATTAAATAGGTCATTTAGCAACAGGTGAGCTGAGCTGAACAGCTTTATATGTATTTTCACCTACTTTTCATTATTGATGATTTTTCTGCTATTCTGATATTTTAATAGTGCAAACATTGATGATTTAGCTGTACTTTATTCTCTAACCAAAATATCATTTTGTGTATCCGGTGGCCAGCTGGGAAGAGATGAGTGGCTGTTTCCTGCTGTTGGTACTTGTGAGACATGAGTTAGTCTTTATAAACTGTTTAGAAACTGTAAGACTCTCATGGTTGTGTCTCTGGGAGTGACTCAGAACGTGGTAGAGCTAGTAAGTGGGTGAGATTGGGTCAGAATATGAGATGACATTATTTTAATGAGGTGTTTAATGTTATCCGGAAAAGGAGAGGGTCAGAGTGGTGGGGACTAAAGATTTAGAACTGCTTTATCTAATATTACTTACTAGAACTTTAACTTATATATTGCCAATTTATTTTATGTTTATAAATATTTATTGTTGTTTTCAACAGATAGCAAATGTGCATTCTTACACATGAACTTATTTGGTTCTGATCAGGGATTCTTTTTAAAATAGTTAGATTTTGTAGTTGAAGTTTGAGAGATTACTTTTATTATTAATATTATTTTAGATATATGAATCATGGCTGTAAGAACCTAATGGCAGTATACAGAGTTGTTTTTGAAAGGTGTAATAGTACTGGAAAAAAAGACATAGTGTTGCAACATACCAAATCATAGAAAAGATGATATTGGATTGATTTTCCTTTTAGGATCATTATGACTTCATCGGCTTCAGGAATATATGGCAACTTTGGCCAGGCAAATTATAGTGCTGCAAAGCTGGGTCTTCTGGGCCTTGCAAATAGTCTTGCAATTGAAGGCAACAAAAACAACATTCATTGTAACACTATTGCCCCTATTGCTGCATCACGGTTGACTCAGACTGTTCTGCCTTCAGGTAAGTAGCTTAGATTTTCAGTACTGTTAGCCACAACAAACCTTTGTGAAATGAGTTTTGCAGAAGTATTTAATTTTCTGAATAGTTAAATTATTTTTCTTACAATTTCAAAAAGCATTACGTATGTTCATTACAGAAAATTTAGAAAAGTACAAGGGAAAGAATAAAAAATAAGCCATAATTCTACCACACTGAGATAAACTTTAATTCTTTTTCTCTGTATAGGTAGACCTACATAATTTTTTTTAATAGAGTGAGGTAATAGCATTTTTATTGTTTTATAATAATAATTTTTTAATTAATTAATTAATTAATATTCTCACCTGAGGACATTTTTCCATTTTTTGTTCAGATAGAGTGGGAGGGAGAGAGAGAGAAACATCAATGTGAAAGGGACACATTGAGTGGTTGCCACCCGCCCGACCCAACCAGGGCCGGGGACAAACTGCAACTGAAGTATGTGCCCTTAGTGGGAATCAAACCCAGGTCTCTCTAGACCACAGACCAATGCTCTAACTGCTGAGCCAAACCGGCCAGGGCTATTTTTTTATTTTTTATTTTTTTATCCTCTCCCGAGGACATTTTTCGATATTTTGTTCAGATAGAGTGGGAGGAAGAGAGAGAGAGAGACATCGAGGTGAAAGGGACACATCAAGTGGCTGCCACCCACACAACCTAATCAGTGCCAGGGACAAATTGCAACCGAGGTATGCGCCCTTAGTGGGAACCGAACCCGGGTCTCTCTGGACCGCAGGCTGACGCTCTAATGCTGAGCCAAACCAGCCAGGGCTATAATAATAAGTTTTAAAAATAATTAAGAGTATTGACTCATTGGTTGTTTAGTAGCATGTTGTTTAGTCTCTATGTATTTGTAGTTTTTCAAGTTTCTTCTTGAAACTGATTTCTAGTTTCATGCCGTTGTGTTCAGAAAAGATACTTGGTATGATTTCAGTATTTTTGAATTTATTAAGACTTGTTTTGTGACCAAGTGTAACCTATCCTGGAGAATGTTTCATGTACACTTGGAAAGACTGTGTATTGGGATGAAAGGTTCTGTATGTATCTATTAATTCCATTTGATACATGTCATTTAAGGCTAGTACTCTTATTGAGTTAGTGGTGATGAACTTCTTTAGTATTAGCTTCTCTGGGACACTCGCCTCCAATTCTGAATGAAACCTTGCCCCATAGAGTATTTATTCTTGGTTGTGAGTTTTTTCTTGTCAGCATTTAAAATATATCCTGCCTCTCCCTTCTGGCCTGCAAAGTTTCTACTGAAAAATCAGCTGATAGTCTTATGGGGTTTTCCTTGTGATAAGTCATTTTTCTCTTGCTGTCTTTAAAATTCTATTTTTAACTTTTGCCATCTTTATTATACATGTTTTAGAGTGGATCTCTTTAAGTTCATATTGTTTAGAACTCTCTGTGCTTCCTGAACCTAGATGTCTTTTTCCTTCCCTAGGTTAGGGAAGTTTTCAGTGATTATTTCTTCAAATAAATTTTCTGCCCATTTCTTTCTTTTGCCTCTTCTGGGACCCCTGTAATGTGAGTGTAAGTATGCTAGATGTTCTAGAGGTCCCTTTAACTATCTTTTTAAAGTTTTTATTTTATTGATCTTTTTTTTAGAGAGAGTAGAGAGTCTATCTCTGTCTCCCTCTCCCTTCCTCTCTCTCTAAAATCAGTAAAGAAAGAAACATCAGTGTGAAAGAGAAACATCTGTTGGTTGCCTTTCTTATGCACCCTGACCAGGGATTGAACCTGCAACCTAGGTATGTGCCCTGACTGGAAATTGAACCTGCCACCTTTTGGTGTACAGTATAATGCTCCAACCAACTGAACCACATTGGCTAGGGCTAAATGTCTTATTAAAATTTTTTTTTCTGCTTTGATTAGGTGATTTCCACTGTTATGTCTTTCAGATCACTGATCTTTCTTTTTTTTTTTTTTATCCTCACCCGAGGATATTTGCATTTATCTTTAGATAGAGTGGGAGGGAGAAAGAGAGAGAGAGAGAAACATCGAGTGGTTGCTAACCACACGACCCCAACCGGGGCCAGGGACAAACTGCAACCAAGGTATGTGCCCTTAGTGGGAACTGAACCCAAGACTCTCTGGCCCGTGGGCCAACGCTCTAACTGCTGAACCAAACTGGCCAGGGCCTGATCTTTCTTTTGTATCAACCAATCTGTTGTTAATCTCTCTAGTTTATTATTTTTATTTCAGTTGACTTTCTTTGTTTACTTCTATGAATTAAGTGGAACAGCTACTTACTCCATTCTTGAAGGAGTGGCCTTGCATAGGAGTGATCCCTGTATAGACTGTGTGTGCCAGATGGTTTGGCAGGCTGGCTGGAACTGGAGTGGGCTTAGTTCCGGGGAGTCCCAGGTTGTGCAGTGTCGGGGCCATCTTGGTGGGATGGCTGGAGCTGGAGTGGGAGTGGGTGGGTGGGTTGTCCCAGAGCGCTCTGTGCTGGGCATGCTTCGTGAGATGACTGGAGCTGGAGCAGGTGCGGTTTGGGGGTATCTTGGGGCACTGTCATGCTGGGGCTGCCTTGGTGGGATGGCTGGAGCTTCAGTGGGTGTGGACATGAGGGTCCTGGGGTGCACTGTGTTGTGATTACCTTGTCAGGATGGCTGGAGCTGGGGCGTGTACCACTGGGGCTGCCTTGGTGCTAGATATGGAGTAGGCACAGGCTGGAGGTAACCTGGGGCATGACTCACCAGTTCCATTCTGGCAGGATGGTTGGACAGGTGCAATTGGGGGGAAGGGGTCCTGGGACACTCTTCACTGGGGCTGTCTTTGGGGGATGGCTGGAGCTGGTATGGACCACAACTCCGGGAACAATGGAATGGCCTTGGCAGTCAGGATGGAGTGCCTGGACCATGCTCCTGTCCCTGCTGTTCAGGTGTATGGGTAACATAAAAACGATGCTCTTTGTTACCTCTGATCCTGGAGAGAGTTCCAGCATTCTCCACTCATTTGGCAGACACTCTAGGGTTTGTTAATAATACTTCCTTCACATATAGGTTGGGTGCCCTTTAACCTGCTGTTTTCTCTCTGTGCCCCAGGTGAGTCTGCATGCTGGCCCCTCAGTGGTATCCCTACTGTAGGTCACTGCTTTGGGGATGGGCTTCCCTCATCACCATGTCTCCGTATCTCCTTCCCTTCTGTTTGTCCCTCTATCATTTGCTGTGCAGAGGCTGCTCAGTCAGCCCTCAGTTCTTCTTCAGGAGGAATTTCTTTATATGTAGGTGTATATTCAGTGTGGTAGTGGGAAGATCTTTCTATGCCATCTTGGACCCTTATTTTTGTTTTTATTACTTTTTTATAGCTTAGAAAAAGCTAAAAATTAATTTGTCCCAGAGCGCTTCTTGTCTTCCTCTGAAATATCCACTTACAGGTTATCAAAGCAATTATTTGTTAAAAAACCAGATGTTATGAGTAATGTGTAGAGACATTTGTAGTTTCTTTTCTCTCGTTGAAATATATTTGATAAATTGAAAGTAATGTATATAACTTACAGGAAAATAAAACATAATCTTAGAATGAGTAGTCATGAACTAACTTTCCAAGCTATATTAGTTATTTATTGCTTTGTGATAAATTACTCTAAAATTTAGTGGATTAAAACAACAAACATGTTTATCTCACATAGTCTCTGGGGTCAGGAGTCTTTAGTAGCTTAGCAGGAAAGTTTTGGTTCTGGGTCTCTAATGAGGTTTTAATGACGTTTGCTGGGACTCCAGCCATTTGAAATCTTGTCTGGGTAGAGGATCCACTTCCAAGGTCACACATGCAAGGAGCTTTCACCAGAGCTAATAATTTGATAGAGACACAGCCATCAAGACAGAAGTTGCAGTATCTTTTAATTTCAGAAGAGTCCTTATTCTGTTGGTCACAGAGAGCAATCCTGGTACATTGTGGGAAGGGACTACAAAAATGAGTGAATAAGGAGATGGGGATCATTGGGGCCATCTTGAAGACTAGCTATCGTGCAACCCCCAAATCGGGCATTACTAATAACATATCTATCTTTGTTATTCTTTTGTCCCAACCCTCTTGCTTCCCCAAGATGTAATCACTTAAAGAAAATGATTGGTTTTCATTTTACCATTTTTTCCTTAAAAAAATACTAAAACATATTTACATAATAATTAAAATTTTTTCTTTTTAATTTTTTTTCTTCATTGATTTTAGAGAGAGGAAGGGAGAGAGAGAGAAACATCGATGAGAGAGAACATTGATTGGCTGCCTCCTGCATGCCCCCCACTGGGGATTTGGCCCACAACCTGGGCATGTGCCCTAACTGGGAATCAAACTTGTGACCTTCTGTGCATGGGTCGATGCTCAACCACTGAGCCATACTGGCCGGGCTAAATTAAAAAAAAAATTTTTTTTTGTTTATCTTCAGATAGACCGAGAGGGAGAGAGGGAGGAAGAGTGAGAGAGAGAGAAACATCGACGTGAGAGAGACACATCGACTGGCTGCCACCCACATGACCCCAACCCGGGCCAGGGACAAACTGCAACCCGAGGTACATGCTCTTAGCGGGAACTGAACCCGGGACTCTCTGGTCTGTGGGCCATTGTTCTAACCGCTGAGCGAAACCGGCAGGGCAATTAAAATGTTTTTAAAATTTTTTTAAAAATCCTCACCCAAGGATACTTTTTTCCATTTTATCTTCCGATAGAGTAGGAGAGAGAGAGGGAAACAAACAAACATTGATGTGAGAAAGACACATCGATTGGTTTCCTCCTGCATGACCTCCACCAGGGCTGGGAATGAACCGCAACCAAGATACATGTCCTTGACTGGAATTGAACCCATGACTCTTTGGTCCACGGGCTGATGCTCTACTGCTGAGCCAAACTGGCCGGGGCATTAATTAAAATGTTAAAAAAAAATACATGGCTAAAACCCCTTTATTTGTTTTGTTTGTTTTGATATTTATAAAATTGTAATATACTATGTTTTTTGGGGGGGTATTGCTCTTTGTTTTTTTAACACAATGTTATATTTCTGAGATTAATTTATATTCTGTATAGTTGTAGTTCACTGATTTTTATAATAGTTCTGTAATAGTCCATTATGTGAATTTATCTAATTCTAATTAATGGACATCTGGGTTTGTTTCCAGTTTCCATTTTTGTTAATTTGTCCTGGGTCACATGAATGAGGATATTTCTAGGTTGTGTACTTAGAAGTAAAATTGCAGAGTTACAAAATAAACAAATGCTAAACTCGATGTAATGCTAAATAATTTTAAAGTGGGTTAAGCCAATATAATATTCATCAGTTGTTACAGAGTTCTCACTGATCTCTGATTTGCCTGGGGTTTTTCAGGATCACCTCAGCCTCAATGATTCTCCAGAAGAATCCACAGAACTCAGACAAAGCTGTTATATTCATGGTTATGATTTTTTTTACACTGAAAAGATACAGATTAAAATCAGCAAAGGGGAAAGGCATATGAAGTGAAATTCATGAGAAGCCAGGATGGATGCCGTAGTGTTGCCAGCCAGGAAAGCTCACCTGAGCCTTGGTGTCCAGGCTTTTTATTGGAGGACAGTCATCTAAGCATACAGCTCCTGTGTGATTTACCTCAGCCACTAAGACCTCATCCCCACAGAGCAAAAATAGGCTTCTCCATAAGTCACAGTGTTAGCGTAAACAGTTTGATCAAACTGGTTCAGCATGGTCCCAGGACTCAGGAATACAAAAACACTCTCACTGGGCTGCATATTCCAAAGGCTCAGAGTACCCCTCAGGAGCTGGCCAAGGCCAGCTGAGTTGACCCTTTCCTGCACCCTGGTCCTTCCCAAAACTTGACATTGTTAGTATGTGCCAGTCTAGTGAGTATAAAATTGTATGTCATTGTGATATTACCTCCTTCAACCTGTTGTTTTTTTTTTTTTTGTTGTTGTTGTTCATAAAACTTGGTTTAGTAAGATGCTAGCTAATCTAGGAGTTTAGAATGTGTTTTGAGTATTGGAAAGCAAGGATATTTATTTACATTATTAGTGACAATATGAAAAAAATGCAAGTTAGAAATATTTTTTCTATGTGACATGTTACTTTCTTACCCCAGATAATAGATATTGAGTGGGATTTCATCAATGTGTTAATTGTTGCTTTCAGTACTATAAAGTTAGTCAACGCAAACATCTGAATACATATATACACACACACATATATCCTTTAACATCCCATTTTGCAATCACTATATAAAGCAAGTTACAGGGATGTTATGTTTCTTATAGGTTAAGAATTTGTTTTGTCATGTCATTTGAGATGGTTGGAGTCTCCCTTTGGTTTTCTCCTCATGCTTATAACAGAGTGGAGAACAGTGTACCTTTACATTGTTCGCATACTTGAGAGTTTTTAGGGGCTATGAAGTAAAAAGTATTTGGAGCTGCTCTTTATAGGGACTGTAAATGTCATCTTTGTTACTTTAGCATGTTGACATAAAATTATATTTTGTAATTTCACAATTAAAATTTGCAGTTTGATTCTTTAAAGAATATAAAGTATATTAGCAAATTGTATCTTGAACCTTGTAACAACTTGATGGAATAGTCAGGGAAAGCATTTTACTTAAAAGACATGTCCAGAGGAGCTGAGTGATGTGCTCACAGTCCTAAATTTCCTGCATGGCAGGGCTAGCAGTAAAATCCAGGTCTGCATACCCCTTGTATAGTACCTTTCTGCTCTGTTAAGTTGCTCACAGAAAGGATGCAGCGGGAAAATATTTCTTACACTTTATTACTCATCAGTAATGGTTGCAAGGTTCATTTCACATCATTATCTTACATGGTTGCAAGGTTCATTTCACATCATTATCTTGCTGACATTACAATTGTCAAGGCTGTTTTTTTTAGTTTTGTAGCTTCTGGTTAAATAGCTGGGAGAGCAACATAGTTTTGGGAAAGAATGGAATCTAAGTTTCTTATGTTATATAAAGCTTTGCTCACCAGTCTTTGCCTAGGCAGCTCTAACTTGACTTCTTGGAAAGGTACATATGATGTATTTAATATTAGAAGCTTGAAAGAGCTTTAGGAATGTCTCTGTTGGGATGGGAAAAGTTATTTGAAAGCCTTGACTGTTAGTGTAATTATGTACATCTAATTTGGTTCTTTGTATTTAAAATGTCTGAGTTGCCTATAATTTTATAAGTAAGACATTTTCAGAAAGTAAAATGATTGCTTAAATATATACATATTCTTGTATATAAACTTTTGTGTGGGTATATATTTCAGATGTTCTGGAAGCTTTGAAGCCGGAGTACGTGGCACCCCTGGTCCTTTGGCTTTGCCATGAGAGTTGTGAGGAAAATGGTGGCTTGTTTGAGGTATTCTGCATCCTGCTTTCTTTCAAAGCAATGTTTGTGTAATTAAATATATAAAACTGATTTAAAGTTAGTATTTTCCAGTTGCTAACATTTGTAAAACTCTGCATCAGCTGATTTAAAAAAAATATTATGGTTATGTTACAATTTATGAGAAAGTAACTGCAACTTTTTACTTTGTTCTTCATTTCTGATATTCTCACTAAATGAAAATTTGGCTGGCTTGGTGTGTTTAGTCAAATACAGAAAGTCACATTCGGTTTGAGAAGCTCAGTGGCAAAGCGGAAAGATGAGCCAGGCGAGATTTCGAATTCTTGTTCTGGCAATTGCTAGCTTCTGGAATTTTGTACAAATTAAACTCCCTGAGCTTTAGTTTTCTTTGGGTTTTGTTGTGGCAACCAGAAATCATACTTTTAAACTCTTAGCATAGAACCTAGTACATAATATATAGCAATCACCCCTCAATTTTAAATATCTTATCAGTATAGCAGGAATTTCGTTTGGGTGTGATAAATCAGTAAACGCAACTTACTATTTATCTTAACTTTAAATATAAACTCTTCTCTTTTTCCTTGTTGCAAAGCTTTTAATGTTTATTGTAAAAATACAAGCTGCATATAATTCCACCATCCATTGAGACCCACAGTTAAAGTACTTTTAGATCTCTTTATGCCACTTTATACATTTTTTTATTTCTCATTTAAATTTGATCTCTTTTTTTCTTTCTACCATGAACTGTTATATTTTACACCCCCTGCCACTCCTTTATTTGATCCTCTGTGGTAATAATGAACCTGTCGTATGAGGAATACTATTGTTATCGGAGAAATGGGTAGATTGCCCTTCTTCATTTCCATGGATTGCCCTTCTCTGTTGCTAGTGGGAGTGGGCTTTTTGGGGTGCCACTGTAATAAGCATTTCTGGAGGCCCTCATGGGAGGATGTAATGTGGTAGAAAGCTTTATTTGGGTGAAATTACATCCCTTGGTTTGAAAAATCCTATTTCCCTTAAACCAGTCCTGGAAGAGGTGCAGCTGGAGATTCAGCAGAGCTAGAAACAAAGCCAGAGTTTCCATTCCATGATGGAGTTAAGTCCAGCACAGCCTCAGGCTAGTTCCAGTCCATTAGTCCATTGTGTGGGGTCCACGTGGCTGTGGACAAATGCAGGGGAGCGTGCCTCCTGCAATAAGATCCAGGAGCCTAGCATTCAAGAGAGCAAGAGAGGGAACTCCTTTGTTCAGGAGTTTAAATATCGAATCTTCCCATGCTTGCAGTGGCCACATCTATTCTGGCCAGTGACCTGTTTCCAGGTGTGACTGACAGGCACGTAGCTTCCCGATGTCATTCAGACCTTACTGAGCCTGCATCTATTTGGCCTTCCCTTTACTCCTTTCTAGTTATTAATTAATAACTGGGTTAATTACAGTGATATCACTATGATATCCAAAAATATTTTTTGGTAGAAAAATAACCTGACTCGGTTTGAAGTGAATAGTATATTAGCCTGATTCATTCAAATAAAAAGCTGACAAATAAATAAAAAACAATGTATACATGTTTAAACAGAGGAATGTGCCTCTACTTTCTTAATGACAACCAATGAATGTGAATTGTGTAAAATTAGAGGTGGAAATAACTTTTACCACTCTAAATTTACAGAGGAGGAAAATTTGATAATATCAAGCTGAAAAATTTCCCTGTTTTTTTTAAATTTCAGGGAATTAAAAAGAAAACTTTTTATCTTTTAAAATTATTTAAATCTGGGAACAAAAATAATATATACTTTTTGTAGAAAGCTTCAAATATACAGGAAAATATATAGAGGGGAAAAAACCACCCATATCACTACTATTTAGAGATAACTACTATTAATATTCTTATGTATTTTCTTCTAGTCTTTTATTAAATGTGCATTTTATACTAATAATCCTTTTTATTATTACTTTTATTATTATATACTTTTAATTCTCATTGAGGATATTTATTTCCATTGATTTTTTTTTTTAGAGAGAGTGGAAAGGGTGGAGGGGAGAGAGAAAGAAACATCAATGTGAAGGAGACACGTAATCTGTTGCCTCCCACACGTGCCCTGACTGGGGCCAGGGATCGAACCTGCAACACAGGTATGTTTAGAAATTGAACCCTTTACCCTTTGGTGTGTGGGCTGATGCTCTAACCACTGAGACACACTGGAGAGGGCACTAATAGTCATTTAAAGTTTTTTGTTGTTAATTCTCACCCGAGGATATTTTTCCCGTTGATTTTTAGAGAGAGTAGAAGGGAAGGAGGAAGGATGAGAGAGAGACATGGTAAATTGGTTGCCTCTTGCATGTGCCCCAAACAGGGCTGAAGATCAAACCTGCAACCCAGGTTGTAGAGCTATATTATTTTTATCCATTGTTATCCAGTATTCTAATATTCTTAGTAAGATAGCTGCTTGTTTTTTTAATTTAAAAAATTCTATCAGTGGTTTCACATTAGAAGGTATAACTTTCTACCCTCTTTTTGGTAGGTTGGAGCAGGATGGATTGGAAAATGTAAGTCTCTTTTGCCATACATTATTTCCATATCTTTAAATCTGAATATCTAATTAGACCTGGATAAAGATCTTGTCAAATGCCTGATCATTGGATCTAGTGCACACATACTCAAACTCAAACATTGTCATACCAACAAGTATTCTAAAGCCTGGAAGCTGTCCTGCAGACCTGTGGGTTTTCAAGAATCTGCTCTATTTTGTGGGCAGTCCTTGTCGAGGATTTACCTCTTCTTACTCAGAACTGGCTATTCCTTCAGACAGCACGGTCTCTGTATTGATGTCCTCCCATGTCTCTGGCATCCCACGTGCTTGCTCTTCCTGTTACGGTGGTGGTTGGGGGGGGGGGGGCTCGTTTGAGAAGATGGGAGGAGCCACAGCAGGCAAGTTCTCCAGTTCTCTCATTTGATTCTGTTCTTCCTTGGAACACGAGAACAGTGAGGAGTCACACGGACAATTTTGTCGGACAGAAATGGAAACAAATCTGTGGGAATTATTCTCCTTCAGCCCAATAGTAAATTCACTTAACTCCAATCCTCTTTTACCCCAGCCCTTAAACCTTGTGAACTCCAACTTGGATAATTGCTTTAAGACATTTTTAAAAAACTGTAAGAATTCCTTTATCCCAGTTTATGTTTTCAGTTGGCTAGTGATATCAAAATTAATTGACTTATTTAGAAGGTTACCATTATTGGAGGGCATTGTTTTAACATACTGTAGACTATCAATATTTTCACCTGTTCTCTCTAGTTATTAAAATAAATTATATTACTCAAGCATTTTTAAGTGTCTTATGACATCATTTTAAAAAAAGGAAGGTTAGTTGTTACAGTAAAAGCTATGTCCGGGACTTGATCAACATGAAAGTGCTAGGAGCAGTCATTTCTGTCATTCCCCAAGACGGACCTTAATTGTGATCATCATCAGAGTCTGACCGTTACGTTTACTAAGGTTACTAGTGGTTATTTATTCCTTAGTCTTTTGAAGAAGAAAAGAATGTTAATTCTCCTCGTGGAATTTAAGCAGCTGTAATGGTTTTGGTGAATCTGCGCATTCTAGCTGACTTCCAGTGGAGAAGGAGGAGGGGGAGCAAAGGGAGGAATAGGGAGAGTTATTTGGGACTACCTGATGCAGGATTTGGTTGTCTGGAATTGTTGATCTGCTGTCACCACTAGTCCTTGGCTTGCTATCCTACAAATCTCTGTTCTGTTATATTGGAGTATATTCCGAGTGATCTATGGTCATGAAGTGAGTTTTTTAGCAAGATAACCCATAATTTAACTTTTTCTGATTTAGCATCTTATTCTGCTTTTAGTGGTGTGTCTGGTATAGTCAGAGGAGAAGTGTTTCCCTTCAGTTTCGATTTTTTTTTTTAATTGACCTAGTCTTAATGGGTTTGTTATTTTAGGAAAAATCCATTTTAAGGCATGTAGTAAAACTCTTTAAAAGTTAGAATCCTTTTGCTGAATTTCCTTTTTCTTAAAGTTAAAAAAAAAATTCAAGGGGCTCTTATGAATTTTACTTTACTTTCTGTCTCCACTTAAACTCTCTGCTCAATATCTTAGTTTTGTTTCTATAACCAGTACGCTGGGAGCGGAGCCTTGGAGCGATGGTAAGACAGAAGAATCAGCTCATGACTCCTGAGGCAGTGAAGGCTAACTGGAGAAAGATCTGTGACTTTGAAAATGCCAGCAAGCCTCAGAGATTTGGAGGTAAAGAGCCCCACACAGTCCAGTCCTGGTTGGGAAATCAGAGATAATCTCTTTTAATATGAATTGCTTTCTTTTTTAACTGTGGTGACTTAGACATTTGAATCATCTAGAGTACATTTTCTGCTCTAGTGTGTATTCGAACTCTTCAAATTTAAGATATGTCACTCTGACTGTTAGTTTTTCAGGTTTTTTTTTTAATAATCTTATTATTTGGGTGTGTGTATGGATAGGGGATCGTATGAGGTCAGTCATCCATTTGTGCTAATGCATCGACTCCTCATCTGATGGTTGGTTTCAGAGTCTTCCATTATCTAGCCATATCCTCCATACCTGACCTGCTTTTTCTTTATTTCCCAAAAACTTTAGTTAAGCCTTTTTTATTTAGGCTTAGCTCTTCTCTGTTTAGTGAATAGATTTTGTTTTAGCACTTCGTCTTTGCTACTGTTTCTCTGTTTTTCTAACATGCCTCTTCTTTCCTTTATTAGGACTTTTTTAGAAAAAGTCAAGCCCCAGATGTTCAGCAAAACCTCCCTAGATATTCTGGGCTACATTAATCTCTCTGTTAGCTGAAGAACTCTTACTCTAGAGCATCTAATCATTACTGCTTTTGTTTCATAATTATGTGGTTTCTTAAATGCATAGTTAGTTCCTTGGAGGCAGAGTCTGTATCTTGTATGTACCTGTTTTGTATTTGGTGCTAGCATAATGCAGAACTCATAGAAAGGGTTTAGTAAATGCTTGTTACCTTGAATTGAATCATCTTTGATATGCCTCAGGAGTAGATAACCAATAAAAGTAACATTATTTTTTCTAGTATAACTCTCATGTGCATAGAGTACATAAAATTTAAAGGACCTTTCTGGGAAAGCTCATGAATTAGGGTTATTTTACAGAAAACTCTTCCTCTTAGTAATGTAATTTTATATTTAATGTTTGATAGAAGAATATACCCGAAAAATGACTATTCTGTTTTTTCTTAATGGCACTTTGATGCCTGCTGATACACACACTGAAATTTTATTATGCTTTTCCTCAATCAGATGATAACATAATTGTTATGTCATTAATGGTAACATTTCTGTTTTCTGTATTTTTATATTTGAGATAAATTTAGTCTATCAGTAACAGTTGCCTGTCATTGAAAATGAATGAAAGGAAAAAGGAAGCAATATTAAAAACTTTCCTCTGATTTCAAAGTTCCACCTTGTTGCCTTGAAAGTATTAGACTAATATAAAGTAAAAGCTAACTAAATGAATTATATTATTATAAATGATAAGAAAAGACTAGTATTTGAAGTACATTTAGAAAATTTTACATTTTTAATAGAATTGAGACTTTGTAGAGCACCTGCCTATCCCAATTCTCATTTTATAGATGATGAACTAAACCCCAGAAAAACTAAATAACTGGTCCAAGCTTTCTCAGTGTTTGAGCCGAGTTAAGACAGGTTGCCTCTCCCTGAGCACAGGACTTCCAGCCTGTGTCAAGGTGACTTTCAGTTAAATAGCCTCCCCTCTAGGCAGCAGTCCGAATGGGGAGGTAAGGGCAGGATTCGTAGGAAGAAGCCTCTTCACTAGTGTCACCAGGAGTGGTGGATGTCCCTGGTCATCTCACATGCTGTAGTGTGGTTGTAGTTTTTCTCTTGAGAGTGGAAGTGGACCCATACCTCTAAGGTGTGTGTTAGAAAGTTCCCATAGCCTTCGGAATTGGATGGCATACGTGGCTGTTCCCGAGTCTCCTTTATTACCTGTTTAGACCCCAGAACAGCAATTTTCAACCCTGTCTGGAGTCACTGGTCATAGTGGTGGTTTTCTCTGGAGAATTTTTAGTACCATCTTTAGAGCTACTACTTGTACAGAGACTTAGGGGTAACCTTGGCACTGTTCCAGCCTGTAGAAGGGTGATGGTGGGTAGAGAAGGGATGTTAGTTGTCCCTCTGCCAGAGAGAAACTGCATGTCTGTAGACAAGGATCCCTTTTTACAGAGTTGTAAAATTGCTCAAAGACATTGCAAATCTCGGAGCCTCCTTAGGATCATGACCTGGGAAGAGTATGTTGAACAATGTCTTATTTTCCATTGAAAACACCCAGTTATCTGTGGTCTGTAAGTCTTCCACAGTATTTTCCCATAATAGCGGGACATATATTCAGTTCATGAGTGCCAGTCACGTCTGCAGCAGGCTTGCTGAATGTTATAGGAATAATTATCTAGCACGGCGATTTTCAACAAGTGTACTGTGGCAGGCACACTGGTGCGCGGCAGGAGTTTTTAAAACATGCAATGCCTTTCTATGTAGTCAGGGGTACTGACCTCTTTTCCCCTAGATTGTCACAAAGATGACAGTGGCCAACACAGAAATAGCTGTCCAGTGTGAATGAATCAAAATTATACCTATTTTTTTTGTCAGATTGGCAAAAAATATATTTTTTGGTGAGCTGCAGAATTTTAGTAATTAGCTTATTTGAGATGAAAAGGGTTGAAAGTTGCTGATCTAGCATATTGTAGCTTTCCTTAGTCACATCTTTAACAAACGCATTATTATTATTGTTGTTGTTGTTATTTTTTTTTTTTTAGAATCAATTAGCAGTATGATGGAAGTTCTAAGTAAAATAGATGCAGATGGAGGAGTTTCAACAAATCATACCAGCCATACAGCATCCTCAGAAGCCACGTCAGGATTTGTAAGTGGGGAAAAAGGCCTAAAGCTGTACCTTCTCTGGAGATCTTTTTCTTTTTTCTTTCATACAAAAACTTATTTCCAAGCTATTCATCAATCTGTTGTTAAATAGGAAAGATAAGTGACCACAAAACATTTCATAAAATATGTACTAAATATTTATACAATTTGAACACAGGCTAAAATATTAAATGTAACCTTTACTTTTTTTTATTTCTTTTTTTTTTGAGACTCGTTATTCCTCCTCCTTCAGTCACTATTTTTCTAACTGTTTAGAAAAGGCTAATTTATTTTAGTGCCTCTTCTGAATCGTTTCTTATAAGGCAAAGCATTGATAGAATGTATGTATTTTGGAAATAATTTCAGCATGGTTACAAGTAAAAAGCCTCCCATTGTGTCCAAAATTCTAATAGAATTGTGGTAATAGTTCATGTGAAGTTTGCTGATTTACAATCTCTTGTACTTAGCCTTAAAAAAACTCCAAAAACCAATACTTGTAGTGCACACACAGTAAGAAGTAAATCATTTGACACATTTGATTTTGGTATTTTGTGACTCAGGACAGACATAATGATAAAATTAACCATCTAACTTTAACCCTGAGAATATAATCAGTTTATAAGTGTGATTTTACTTTAGAATAGGGGTTGGCAAACTTTTGTGGTAAAGGGCCAGATAATAAATATTTTAGGCTTTCTAGACCACCTATTGTTTCTGTCACATACTTTTATTGATTTTTTTTTAAATTTATTTTTTCTTTATTGATTTTTAGAGAGAGAGGAAGGGGGAGGGAGAGAGAGAAAAAAACATCAATGAGAGGGAACATTGATTGGTCGCCTCCTGCATGCCCTCCCTGGGGATCAAGTCCACAACCTGGGCATGTGCCCTGACCGGGAATCAAACCAGTGACATCTTGGTGCATGGGTTGATGCTCAACCACGGAGCCACACTGGCCAGCCTTGATTTTTTTTTAATAACTCTTTTAAAATGAAGAAAAATTTTTTGGCTCTCATCCATTGTTTGGTGACTCCTGCTTTAGAATGAAAGTGATTGAAAATTGGGCATTATTCTTTTTTAAAAAACAATATGTTTTTATTGATTTGTTTTTTAGAGAGAGGAAGGGAGAGAGATAGAAACATCGATGTGAGAAACATTGATCGGCTGCCTCCTGCACTCCCCCTACTGGGGATTGAACCTGAAACCTGGGCATGTGCCCTGAATGGGAATCAAACCAGGACCTCTCAGCCCATATGATGATGCTCAATCCACTGAGCCATACCTGCCAGGCAACAAATTCGTTTTTAAAAGATTTTTATATATTGTGGAATATAATGAACATAACAGTCTGAGGAAGGGGGTAGTCCCAGAGATGCGGAAATGGGATACAGACTGACAATCCCCTAAATAGGGGGGTGGTGGGGAAGAGATAAACCACAGAACTTATATGTGTGTATGCATGAACAGTGGACATGGACAACAAACTGGGGAAAGGGCAGGGAGGGAGGAGGAGGGGGGAATCAGTGGGGGGGAAAAGGAGAAACATCTGTAACAAAAATTAATTAAAAAGTAAAATAAAATAAAAGATTTTTATTTTTACTTTTGAGTAGCTAACAGTTCCTGAATTAACAGGGTTTTCCAGCATCAAAGACGGGAAAGTTGAAAATGAGACACACTGTCCGTTAGTAAGAAGCAAGCAACACAAAGTAATTATCTGTAAATGAAGTCCTTTTCTACACATTATCTAATTGATATCTATTTTTAAAAAAATCAAATATAATGAAACAATTACAATACTTCATCAAATTCCCCAAATAATATTTTAGTTACATCTTTCAAAAACAAAAGTGGTATGTAAGCAGTGGATAGTACTGAAAAGTTAACATGTTAAAGATTAGACCAAAATGCATGCAAAAATAATTTTCTACAATTATCCCATAGGCTGGAGCTGTTGGCCATAAACTTTCATTTTCTTCTGCTTACACTGAACTGGACACGATTATGTATGCTCTTGGAGTGGGAGCATCAATCAAGGAACCAAAGGATTTGAAGTTTATTTATGAAGGAAATTCTGACTTCTCCTGTCTACCTACCTTTGGAGTTATTGTAGGTCAGAAATCTGTAATGAGTGGAGAATTAGCAGAGATTCCTGGACTTTCAATCAACTTAGGAAAGGTATGCATAAAAATAAACCTTTATTTTGATTTTTTTTTCTGTTTCTTTAAGTATAATTGGTGAATATCACATCCCATGTGTGTTTGTATGTGTGTATTAATAAAACAGTTTATAATGGTTGATTCAGGAATAAGGAGTTAGCATATTCTTTGATTTTTCTTTTTAAGAATAACAGAGAAGAGGGTTAGTTGAAAGGTAAACAAAAATAACATTGTACATAGAAAACCCTACAGGATTCACCAAAAAACTATTCGAGTTGATAAATGAATTTAGCAAAGTGGCAGGATACAAAATTAACATCCAGAAATTGATGGCATTTTATACACCAATAATGATCTCTGGTAGAGAAACTAAAAAACAATCCCTTTTATCACTGCAACAAAAATAATAAGATAAAAAGATACCTAGGAATAAACTTAACCAAGGAGGTAAAAGACCTGTACTCGGAAAACTACAGTATGTTAAAAAAGATAGAGGAAGATACACACAAGTGGAAGAATATACTGTGTTCATGGATCGGAAGGAATTAATGTAATTAAAGTATCCATACTACCCAAAGCAATCTATAGATTCAGTGCAATCCCTATTAAAATACCAATGGCATATTTCACAGATCTAGAACAAAATACTCCAAAAATTTGTGTGGAACCAAAAAAGATCACGAATAGCTGCAGCAGTCTTGAGAAAGAAGAACAAAGTTGGAGGAATCACAATACCAGATATCAAGTTATAATACAAAGCCACTGTATCAAAACAACCTGATACTGTCACAAGAACAGGCATATAGATAGATCAGTGGAACAGAACAGAAACCCAGAAATTGACGCAAGACATTATGCTCAATTAATATTTGACAGAGCTCTCAAGAGCATACAGCGGAGTAAAGGTAGTCTCTTTTTAAATGGTGGTGGGAAAATTGGACAGCTACATGCAAAAAAATGAAACTAGACCACCAAATTACACCACACACAGGAAAGAACTCAAAATGGATATAAGACTTAAATGAAAGCAATGAGACCATAAAAATCCAAGAAGAAAATGTAGGCAGCAAAATATCAGGCATCTCACATAGTCTGAATTTTCACCAGTACGTTGGTTGCCTAGGCCAAGAGAAACAAAGGAAAAAATAAATGGGACTACATCAAACTAAAAAGCTTCTCATAGTATAAGAAACCAGCATCAAAATAAAAGGGAACCTACTGTGTTAGAGAACATATTGCCAATGATACATCTGATAAGGGGTTAATTTCCAGAATATATAAAGTACTCATACAGCTCAACAAAAGGAAGACAATCCAGTTAAAAGATGGGCAGAAGATCTGAATAGACACTTCTCCAAACAGGATATACAAATGGCCAAGAGACATATGAAAAAATGCTCATCATCACTAATCATCAGAGAGATGCAAATTGAAATGAATGTGAGGTATCACCTCACACCTGCCAGAATGCCTGACATCAACCAATCATCAAATAACAAGTGCTGGCGATGGTGTGGGGAAAAGGGAACTCTAGTACGCTGCCGGTGGGAATGCAGACTGGTGCAGCCACTATGGAAAACAATATAGTATTTCCTCAAAAGATAAAAAGTGGAACTGCCATTTGACCCTGTGATCCCACTTTTAGGAAAATATCCTAAAAAGCCTGAAACACCAGTCAGAAATAATATATGCACCCCTATGTTCATAGCAGTGCCATTTACAATAGCTTGGATCTGGAAACAGCCCAAGTGCCCATCAGTGGATGAGTGGATAAAAAAGCTGTGGTACATTTACACAATGGAATGCTGTGCAGCTGTAGTAAAGAGAGATCTCTTATCCTTTGAGCTGACATGGAAGGACCTGGAGAATATTATGCTAAGTGAAATAAGCCAGTCAGAGAAAGACAAATATTACATGATCTCACTTATATGTGGAATGTAATGAACAAATTAAACTGATGAACAAAATAGATCCAGAGACATGGAAGTAGGGAACAGACTGACCAACCTCAGAGGGATGGGGGTGGGGGGTTGGGAAGAGATTAACCAAAGAACTTACATGCATATATATACAACCAATGTACACAGACAACAGTGCAGTGAAGACAGCAGGGGTATGGGAGTGAGGAGGAGGGTGTCAATGGGAAAAAAAGGAGGAACATCTATAATACTTCCAACAGTAAAGATAAAAACATGCTTTAAAAAAAGGAAAACAATCATGTTCAGTCTCATAACCCTGGCATAATGTTATTAATTATCTCTCTGCCATTTACTTGCTGTGTAGACCAAGGGTAAATAACTTCTCTAAGTTTTTTTCCTTATCTATAAAATAGATATGATAATCCTTATCTGATGATATTGGTGAAGGAACAGGTCAGGAAGTTAATTATCCAGTGGAAGAGTATTTGAGGCACAGAAAACAAGTGTAAGAGGTCCTGAGGCAGGTACATACTTGGCTTGTTTTTGGAACAGCGAGGGGGCCAGTATAGCTGTAGCGTGAGCAAGGAGGGGCCTTGTAGTCACTGTAAAGATTTTAGTTTATACTCTGATTAAGGAGTGGGGATATTAGTAGCACTTTGAATTGAGGAGTGATGTGAGCTGGCTGTATTCACTCACACGTTCATTGTTGCTACTGTGTGAAGAATAAATTTATATGGGAGCCAAGCAAGGAAGCATGGAAACCAGTTAGGAGCCTACAGTAGTAAATTAAGCAAAAGGTGGGATATGGAGGGGAAGAAAAAGGAGTCAAGAATATAGGTTTTTGGTCTGGGCCACCAGGATGATATGTACTATGTATATATATTATTTATAATTAACTATATACAACATTTAGTATGCATAGTAGTTACATATAACATTACTATGTATAATAAAATAGATATATACAGTTGCTTTAAGGTGGGGATGACTAGGTGTTGTTTTTGGACAGATTTGAGATGTCCGTTATACATTCAGGTAGAGATGTAAAGTGGGCAGTTGAACATGTGAATCTGGCTAGAGTTTGGGGGTAAGGTCTAATTGGAGTTTGTAGCATTTAAGTGATAGTTGAAGACATGAAATTATCTAGTGTGTGAGTGTTTAAGTACAGAAGACCTTGAGTTTAGGGGCCCTGCAGTGTTTAGTGGTTGAAAAGATGAGAAATTAGCAAGAGAGACTGTGAAGGAGGCTGATGAGGTCTGAGTTGTGAGGAATATCAGGAGAAGATGGTATTTGGGAAGCAAAGTGAATCAATTGTTTCAAGAAGGAAGGAGTGAACAACTGTGAGAAAGCTTTTGAGGTGGGGTTTATTTTCTTTATGGAGTAAGATTTAGATTATGAGCCCAATGATAACTGTTGAATCAGAGCTGTGAGACAGTTTCTGCAACTGACTGACTGGAGAACCCATTTACTGGAGGTTCCATTAGCCCACTGCTGTGCTGAACTTATGGGGACTTATTTTAATAGAGTATTTCATGGAGTTGGGAGGGAGGTGAGAAATGTGTGCCAGGTTGTTGTTTTAGTCACTCTTGTGGTAGTTGCTGCAAGTAGTTCTTCTGTTTGCCTAATGTAAGAGCAAACACAGCATAGGTTTCAGAATCGGCCCTCAGAGATGAAGGGAGTTGAATATCCTAAGTGGTGTTCAAAACCTGTGGCTGGGAATGCTAGCTGTCTTGGATGTGAATCCCAGTCTGCCCAGCCGTGAGTTTCCAGGCCGAGTGATACAGTGAGGCTGTTCTTCATCTGTCCTCCCAGCACAGCCCGTCCCTTAACCCTTTTTCCCCCTTCGGGTTCTGAGGAAGGCTGGGAACTAGTCTGTCCCATGGCCATAGAGTGTGGCCATCTGGATATGTGGGTCAGGTTTTGTTTTTGCTGTCCTACTGTTTGCATATTCTTGTTTCCATAGGTGGAGGTTAAGTGGCTATAAAGTTACACAGTATCCTTAGTATCTACTCTTGGTAGACAATTTACAAGATACTATATACTAAGGAAATGCTGGTATTGATAGTGCTTTTGTTTTGAACATAGTTTTGAAGGTTTTTTATGTTTTGGTTGAGTTGTTTGTATTTGGTATGTGTGACCTGAAATTTCTTTACTAGCAGTGGCTGAATCATGTGATTAAGGAGAAGCCAAACTGAGACAGGTAATTTGGGGGAAGTAGTGATGTGAGCATGTGGACAGTGAAATAATCACTTTTGATTAGCAACATCCATAGGCAGAACCCATGGAAAGGCAGTCTGCTAATAAAATTTTGCTTATCCTAACATAGATTCTTCATGGAGAGCAGTACTTGGAGTTATATAAACCATTTCCCAGAGCAGGTGAGTTCTTGATCTGATTCTATAACCACACCATTATTATTATTATTTTTTACTAACCTTTCAAACCGTGGTACTGTGTTAAATTGGCATAGTGTGACCTAAGTAAAGCACATCACAAGCTGTTTATGTGTTTTGTCAGCCATTAGAGTAAGTCAGAATTAACTAGTACCTGTTTTGGTTATCTTAAACTTTGTCCTTTAATAGCCTTATTTAACAAATTACTTCAAAATGCTAACAACTTATCTCCATTGACGTATGTGTTACTAAACTGAAAGGAGCATTTCTGTGCTTATGTTCTGCCCTTGGTGGTTGTGTGTAATCAATCAGTTATGATTCCTATTTATATGGTTCTTCCTTTTCTCAGGTATTTATGTTGGTGCTGATTTTCACAAAGCAAACCATGTTCAAAGATACAGAATTTTTCATATCTTTAAATAATCAATTTTATTTTTCTCAATAATATCTTACATGTTCAGTAAAACTTCTCTTTTTATTCTTTCACTGTAATTTGACATATTTGTCTTGTTTTGCTACTTTGATGTCAGAATATTGTCTAATTGTATACTGATCATATAAGATGGTAAAATACAAAAAGACAAGTATTCGTCATTTCACATTACGTAATGTAGAGGTCAACAAGGAGCTAGAATCCTACTTTAACTTTTTACTCAGTCGTCTTATTTTACTGAAGAAATGACGAGATTCTGACTGCTTGAGGCTGAGTAGCTTCATTTCGGTGTTGGTGTCCCTCCTGAAGTCTCACACAGCTCTTCATCCAAGGCAGCGCAGAGTGGTGACTGCTTCCTCAGGCATCTGCTAGGTATCTGCCACGTGTGAGGCACAGTGTTTGGTTTTGGATAATTTTGCAATCTGGCTGCATATCAAAGTCACCTGTTATTACATTATATTACCTGCTATTTGGAATAAAATAAGGATTCTAGATCCCAACCCTGGAGATTTTGTGTGCACATGTGCATCATGTGTATGTAGTGTGGTGATGGTAAGGTGGAGGCTGGGAAGCTCCCTGTATGTTTTTATGCATCCAGCCTAACATGGTTCCATTTGGGAACCAATGTTATAAGGGAAAAGGAAATGTGTAAGATAGGTTTCTGCCTTTAGGGATTTTAAATATGAAGAGAGAGATTAGACATATGTTAAAAAATGATTGCAACTGAAAAGTAGTTTCAATAAGAAGGTATGGAAAATACTTTTTAATTTCTTGTACCTCCTTAGCCTCAAGTTATGTTTCTCATGAATTAATTTTCTTCAGTAGTTTCTGTGCATTTTCTTTAAGTAGTATTAAAGTTTACTGTCCAGTAAAAATGAAAATTTAAAATTCAAGATATTTATGGTTTGGAACCTCTTTAAAAAAACTTCAGAAAATGAAGATTTGACTAATTACAGTATCTCCATAAAGCATACCAGTTGATGAGACATGGGACCTCAAGCATCGGGAGATTGATGTCAGTATTTCTGCATCTCTTAATAGCTCATTTGTTAGCTATAGCGGTACTATCATAGGCTGATTTACCACTCCTTGTGGTAAAAATATAAACATAATTAGATGGAGTGCAAGAAACTTAATAGCAGCACTTTATTTTGCATCATGAACTAGAACATGAACTAGAACATTTCTAGATTTTCTGGTTTCAAATGACTGATCTTTATTATGTTTCTACTTGATATCTTTCTTTTTTATACTTACTACTTTCTCAAAGATAATTTCTGTTATTAGGGCAAAACAATTCTTTATTTCATCTGGAAAGTGAGATTGATAATGTTACTAATCTTGATTTTCTGACAGGGAATATGTAACTATCAAATATTAGTTTTTGAAAATGTGTGTGTGAACAGTTAAGCATTATGCAAATGTAATTATCATGCCAAATTTCCAAATGGAACTTCATAGAGCTGTGGTTTTGATTGTTAGGGTAGATTTAACCTTTTTTCCAGAAGTACTCATATTTAAATAGATTTTACTAAAATGATAAAATAATGTGTTCCCATTATATAAAATTTGTAAATTATAGAAAAGTAAAGGAAGAAAACTATTGTCTGCAATTATTTATTCACTCATTGAATATTTATTAAATCTTGTTTTGTGCCAGGTATTCTGCTAAGGGTTTGTAACATAATCATGAAAAAGATATTACTTTTATAGAATGTAGAACCTGTCTAATGATGTATAGAGACAGTGGGCATGAGAAACATTGTGTGGCACATTGTAATGGGATAAGCATGTTTGGCACAGGAGAACATAGGAAAACCTGGAACTGAACTTGAGGGGTTGAGGACGGCTTCTTGGTAGAAATGAATTCTAACTGAGAAAACTAAATTAGGAGTTAACCATGTTAAGAGGAGATTTTATTTCAGGCAGTGGGAATACTCTGTGCAAAGTTGTGGAAGTGAGAAAGAGCATTGACCTTTAGGGGAACTGACAATTGTTCAAGCTTTGTTCAGAACAGGTTGGGGAAGGAAGCAAAATATGAGAATAGAGACGTGAAAATGGTCTGGAAAAGCCTTGAAAGTCAGGTGAAGAAGTTTGGGTTTTATTTATTCCTTTTTAAAAAAAATCTTTACCTGAGGATATTTTTACATTTATCTTCAGGCAGAGTGGGAGGGGGAGAGAGAGAGAGAGAAAAAAAAACAAAAAACATCGATGTGAAAGAGACACATAGATTGGTTGCCACCCGCCCGACCCCAACCGGGTTGGGGACTAACTGCAACCGAGGTACATGCCCTTGGCTCGAATCAAACCCTGGACTCTTTGGTCTGCAGACTGACTCTCCAACCCCTGAGCCAGACCAGTCAGGGCAGTTTGGGTTTTAGTTAAAGGCAGTGGATAACTATTGAAGACTATTATGTGGATTTTAGAAAGCATCAACTCTAGATTGTCTTTGTAATGCTTGGATTATAAGAGAATGAGATAGAAGGAAGATTTGTTAAAGACTGTTGTAATAATCTAGGTAGGGGACCATGGTTGATTGGCTAGGACTGTTGGCATGAGGATGGATGCAAGTGAAGGAATTGTTGAGATATGTAGATAGTAGGCCTGATGTTTGGACATGGAGTTGATCATCTGGGGATATCATCACCAATTCGTCAACTAATTAAAACAATTTTTTTTAATCCTCACCCAAGGATATTTTTCCATTGATTTTCAGATGGGGGGGGGGAGAGAAACATTGATGTGAGAGAGACACATTGATTGGTTGCCTCCCACATGACCCCAACCAGGGCTGGACCGAGGTTCATGGGCTTGACTAGAATCGAACCCGCAGCTCTTTGGTCTGTGGGCCAATGTTCTAACCGCCGAGCCAATCTGGCCAGGGCTTGTCAACTATTTTTTGATTGCTTGCTAAGCTGTAGGTATTCTGGTAGTGCTGTGAGTAGATGGAGTCTAGAAACAAATCTGTACTCTGCCTTCATGGAGCATATAGGTAACCTCATTGGTGGGGAGGGCAGCCACTAATAAGTAACCACACAAATAAATATATAATTGCAACTTCATGTGATAAACATTATAGATGAAACATACATGATCCTATTAGCACTTAAAATAGAAGCATTTGACATTATTGGGTTGGTAATGGAAGTGTTCTTTGAGGAACTGATAAGAAGAAAGATTTGAAAGAAAGATTTCAGCTAGGTGGAAAGTTAGGCAAAGAAGGAAAGAAAGAGCATTCCAGACACAGCCAAGGACCTGTGTCAAGGCTCTTGAGATGTGAGAAGTATGGATGAGGAGCAAAGGAAGACCAAAGTTGCTGGAGAGCCTGGTAGTGGTGGTAGGGAATAGTGTCACACAGATCACATGAGGGAATTTTTATTTATCACGAGAGGGAATTTTTATTTATCACGAGAGCCTTGGAAAGTGGGGAGAGGTGGTGGTGGTGGTGTCGGGAAGAGCAGTTAATGACATTGTCAGATTTGACTTTGGGAAAAAATCTCCTCAGACATGTATGGAGCATATTTTAAAGTTGGTCAGAGTGGATGTGCAGATTCCTAGTTAAAAGTCTATAGAAGTTCAAATGCAATGATGGTGGCTTGCACTAAGGTGGTGGTGGAGAGATGGAAAGAAGTGATTGGATCAGAGCGATTTAGGAGGTGAAAGTGACAAATCTGGATATCATCCTTGGCTTCTCTTTTACCATCTTTCACATCCAGACAGTTACCAAGATCTTTGATTCTCTCCCTTCTGTACATCTGAATCTTTCTGTTTCTGTCCACCTCCAGTTCCACTTTATTCACTCCACCATCATCTCTCATTTTCTAAGTGTCCTCTCTGCCTCCATTCTTATTCCCCTTAGGTGTATTCACCTCACTGCAGCCGGAATGCTATTCCCTATTAAAAACCCAATGACTATTCATAGACTTAAGGATGAAATAAAAACTTTTAGTATAATTCAGCTTCTCCCATTCTCTGCATACTCAAGTGTAGCCACTTACTTAGACTTTATTTTATGAGCCAAGGTGATGCTCAAATTTCTGACTTGGGTAGCTAGGTGGATAGTACCATTTATTCATATAGGGAACAGAAGAGAAAAGCAGATTTGAGAAAAAGGTGAGTCTACCCCACAGAAAGTGATGATCCATCAGAATCACCAGTAAATTATGAAGAGTCTGTAAAAGTACAGAGTGATTAGAGAGAAACATTGTCTCATTGAATCCAGTAGAGTAGAGATTTGAGAAGGAATGGGGTAAATGGGATTGTTTGTATACTTAACAGATGTTTGTTGAATGACTGAAATTGTTATTTCTTTAAAACTAATTTATCAGAATTATTATTTTCTTTAGGGAGAGATGGGGGAAGAGAGAAGAGAAACATCGATGTGAGAGAGACACATTGACTGGTTGCCACCCACACAACCCCAACCAGGGCCGGGGCCAGACTGCAACTGAGATGTGTGCCCTTAGCGGGAACCAAACCAGGAACTCTCTGGTCTGCAGGCTGATGCTCTAACCGCTGAGCCAAACCGGCCAGGGCTCAGAATTATTGATGTTTCAAACTTAGTGACTCAAGTATTCTGACTGCCTCTATTGTTGAATTATTGAGCATTATAGTGAAAATTATTTTGAACAATAATTTTTAGTTTTGCTGAACTTACAGTGGAAATTATTAAATACTGTCATGTCTTAATATAGTAACTTACCGTTTTTAACACAGTCTATTTACTCATGGTTTTAAAAACAGTCTATTTATTTATTTATTTTACTTTTCATTTTAGGAACATTAAAATCTGAAGCAATTGTTGCTGATATCCTAGATAAAGGATCCGGTTTAGTGATTCTTCTGGATGGTAACTCATTTCCAGTTCTTATAATAATAGTTTTAGATTGATAAGTTTTATGTGTAACATAGTACTTCACCAGAGAAATGATTAGTAAGTTTGTATTTGTCAGTTTGTGGGAAAGCAAGATAAGCACTCTAAAAATTTATAGACCATTTTAGAAAATGGGGGAGGAGGGGAAGAAGGATTGAGGTAAGGTTCGGGAGAGTGGGCCGTTTCAGGGGATTTGAGACGATATGACCAGAGCACAGAAGTGTGGCTGGTTTGGAGAACATAGAGGAGAAAGATACTGCTGGAGTGTGTTTTTGACAGGAAGGAGTACATAGACAGCCCTCAGTTGATAATTAGGCAATATTGTAGAAATTCTTTTCTATGTTAGCTCTTTGGAACTTGTAACACATTTGATCCCTTAATCATTCTTATAAATGGTAGTTAGGTTTCTAACTTTGCCCATTCAAGCCTGTTGAACTCATAAATCCACATTTTATTTGCAGTGGGAAAAGATATTATAGTAGTTTAATAAATGTTGAAATACTAGTAATTAAACATCGGTTATAGATACATTGCTTAAAATTTATTTCATTTTAAAGTTTAAGAATGGGAAATAGATATTTATTGTCAAAAATTTTAGAAATAAAGGACAGTGGAAAATTTGATATTGTCTGATATTTGGAAAATAGGCGTTATTGTTGTTCTAAATACATAGGTGGTTGTACTGTATATGCTATTTTGAAACTTGCTTTGTTTTTACTTAATAATATACTGAGAACATTTTGATGCTCTTAAATATTTTACTACATTTATTTTTAACTCCTACTGTTTCATCATATGCTGGTTACTCTCTTTTCCCTCTTCTTCTTTTCTTGTTTTGCTCCTCTTCTTTTTTAGATGGTCATATTTTCTTGCTATTCCAGATGTTGGTTAGTATTTGGCTGTAATTGTCCAAGTTTTCTTTTAGTCTTCTCACCATTCTACCAGATGTAATATACCACAACACAAAAGTTCTACAGTAACCTTAGCTTAATTTTTACTGTTTTCTCTTGACCTACTTCACTTATTTAATTATAGCTTGGTAATGTATAATAATGTATTAGAATTTGTAGATATAGATGAAATTAGATATCTAGTTTCTTATGTAATTAACACAAAAATTTTGTTTTGAATACAAATTACTATGGCCTTTTTTATTTTTTGTTATCATTGGATTTTTTCTTTAATGCAGTTCAAAATCATTTTTCTAATTTTCTAGAGCTGGAGATACAGATAATATTCAAACTTTCAGTAGGAAATTAGTCAGTGGAAAGAGGGACAACTATGTTACATTCATTATTTGCTCATCTGTTCACTAAATTGCTCACTTGTCATTTATTGATTATTGTAATAAATATTTATTAGGTGCCTTTTTTGTCTCAGGTACTATTCTAATAGCTGGGAATATGATGATGAGCAAAACAGCCATGATCCCGCCCTCCCGAAGCTTATACCTTCATCCTCACTTACTTTCTCTTTTACTTTCCTGGCTCTGCTCTGGCAGAATGTTTGAAAGTTTGAATGTGAGGGTGCCTGCGCTTTATTGTGGGACTGTTCGTAATGTTGCCTTCCAGAAGCTGGTAGATTAAAGTAAATGCTTTGTAACCCGAACTAAAGCATCTTAAAATTATAAAACCTTTTAGAAATTGGATTTTGTTTTTGAAAATTTTAAAGGAATTGCCAATCATATATTGATTAACTAGTTATATCTTTTGATAACTGAAAAAATTTTTTTATTTACTTTTCAGTGTATTCTTATTCTGGGAAGGAACTTATATGTTATAATCAGTTCTCCCTATTCCTTGTTGGCTCTGGAGGTGTTGGTGGAAAACGGACATCAGACAAAGTCAAGGTAGGCCATGGCTTTATAAGCAAAATATATGTATAGTTAGGGATCCTTATCTATATTTTGAATTTACCAATTTACCATATGTATAATTTCATGGAGTGGAGGCTCAGTAATTCACACTTTTTCAAATCAGAATATGTTCCTTGGATTTGAAATGCTGTATGTTTGTATATTGTAATATATAATATAAGTTACATGTAGCAAAGTCTGGCTGAGATATGTATAATGTTACTGAGATAATTGTGGGTATATTTTTACTTTCTTACACAAACTTTGTAGCACCCAAAAGTCTTTAGAAAAGCCTAACATATACATACAAGTGATTCTTATGGAAATTAAAATCTTCATTCATTAAATGACTTAAGCATTTCTAGTTATTCTTTAGTTCTCAGATTCTATTTAAAAACGTATTTTTTTCTAAAAATAATTTTGAGCTTGGATTTTACACTAATTTAACCAGGCCTTTACATCTAATTTATTTGAGGTAATAAGATTACATTGTAATAAATATTCTTCTGGAGTAAATAAAGTATTATTAAAGCAATATTGGGAGACTGCTTCTGGAATGATGGTGTGAGGAGTCCCTTTGACAGTTTCCCCAGTGAAATAATCATAACTGGTAAAAATTATGTAAGAAAAAGAAAGTTTAAAGTTTCTGGGAATTGTCCTAAGGGAATTAGCAAATGAAATATCTACTCAAGATCTATATCTTGGTAAGAACAGTGGGGATCTGTGGCATTTGAGCACAGGTCTGCCTCCTCTCCTGGTTCAGCATGATAGAAGCTTCGCTGCAGGCATTGCAGCCAGGAACCAGGGTCCCTCTGCCCTCAGCTCCCAGCGCAGGCCATGCCATCTTCCCAGGAGGAGTGGTCACTCGTTTTTGTCATTCCCCCACCAGCTTATGATGCAGAAGCTCCACTCCAGGTAAGAGTGGCTAAGAGTTATGGAGCTGTCTTCCTGTGACCCCCCCCTCCCACACACACCACTTTGTAGGGTGCAAACTCTGTTCCACCCAAGGCAGACTGGGAATACTGGGGCCTTGGTCTCTCTTGCCCCAGCTTGTTCCTAGAGTGGGGGTTTCCTGCTGAGAGAGGCAACCTGAAAGACCAGAAGTTACTGCCCTTGTCCAGCACCCTTCTTGTAAAGTGAGGATGTACCTTGGAGAACAGTGGGCCACTGTCTGTGCCCTCATCTCTGCTGCAGTGGCGCAGAGTTTTTGCCCAGTGGGCCAGGCGGGCTGAAATAATGAGAGCTCTGAAGCTGTTCTCCAGGAAACGGACTCATTTTGGAAGAGTTTTTGAAAGTTCAGAAGTAAGGGTGCTTCTAAAAATGAGGTTGCTTTAGTGATGAACAATCAAGAAGAGGCTGGTAGCTCCATGAAAACAGTAAGTTAAACTAGCCCAAGTTGAAGTTTACTAGCGAGAACCACAGAATTAGACACCTAAGTATGAACCTCATGTGTTCATAATACATCTCTAAGATTTGCTTCAAAGACCAACTACTAACTACCCATATAATTGGATCATACCTTGGAGCAATTTATGTCCCAAGGCATTGTTTAAAATAATAGAGCAATCATCTGGTAGTTGGTGGAGCCCATCGGCTGGGTGTGATGCCAAAGAGGCAGACAGTTTAACACCTTAGGGAGAGACTGTCACCAGAGCCCTGCTAAAACCACTGTCATTCCAGGGTGCACTGTCATCCCAGGTGCAGTGTGCCCGAGGTGCACCCCCTGAGGCTGCACACTGTGGGAGAAATGCGCTTCACTAAAATAGTTTAGCCAAGTCATTAGGTAAATTAACAAGTTAATAACAACAAGCCCTGAAGGGAAGGGTGATTAGTATCCAGAGCTACTATATTATATTATCTAAAATGTCCAGTTAGCAGCAGAAAATTATGACATGAAAGAAACAGGAGAATGTGACCCATAGATAAGAAAAACAAACAGAACTCTCAACAGAAATTGCCTATGAGAGAATTTAATAATAAACAGAGACTTCAGAGCAGCTCTTATATGTTCAAAGAACTAAAGAAAGCCTTGTTAAAAAAGTAAAGGAAAAGTATAATGACAGTGATTCACTAAGTAGGGAAAATCAATAAACAGAAAATATAAAGGAGAACCAAAGAAGTTTGGGAGCTCAGACTATAGTGACTGCAATGAAGAATGTACTAGAGGGGCTCAGCAGTAGACTTGACTTGGCAAAAGAAAGAATCAAAAGGTTGAAGATCTGTCTGTTCCATCTATTCATATTTCATCTATGAACATCTGTCTAAAGAACAGAGAAAAAGTGAAGGAAAAAAAAATGAAGAGCCTCAGAGAAACATGGAAAACCATCAAGAAATGGGAGGACCAGAGTGAGAGGAGAGAGGAAGGCAGAAAAAATAATTGAAAGAATAGTGACTTTAATGAAAAACATTATTCAATATATCTAAGAAATTCAGTCAACTCCAAATAGGCTATAAATGCAAAGATATCCATACTCAGTAAAGTGCCTTTAAAGATTAAATCAGTTTAGCTGTGAATTGTTTGTCTGATATTTATAGCTATCATCATCTTTTGCATTTGGAAAAGTCTTTACCTTTTTCTCCTTTGTGGCCTAGACAATGGATTTGGTTATGTAATTCCTTTCATTAAACAGGGAAATCATAATGTAGATGAAGCTAGCTGTTATGAAATTTTAAATGTCATTATCTCCTGAACATAAAATAGTAAAAAAACTTGTTATCCGACTTGTAGATTTTATTATATTAAAACATGGCTGCTTGTTAGATACCAGTTTGGGTAGAGAGAAGAACAGTTACTTTGTTAGTGTTTAACATAATGTTTTTTGATTTCAGGAAGCTATAGCCGTACCTAATAGAGGTCCTGATGCTGTACTTACAGACACCACCTCACTTAATCAGGTAAGACTGTATTTTTGAAAAGTGATAGATCCACCTGACTGCTGACACTTTTTAATTTATAACTCTTGACACCTTATAATTTTATGAGTCCAAGAGTAGTGCCTGTGTCCTTCAACATAATAATAATAATGATAATAATCAAAAGATAATATAAAATGGCTTTTCATTAGTCTATTCAAAAAGCATCAAGCTTTGTTGGTGATGGAGTGCTTGCCCTAGGGAGACTGTCATGTTTAGTAGTGAAGAATTTCATGAGAGCCTTAGAGAGCAGGATAGAAAGAATAAAAAGGCATTTTAGTCACTGTTTCCTCTTTTGGGAGAGAAAGCTGAGCTTCAGTGCTTGGAATCAGATTATATTATGCTAACTTTAGCAGACAGACAAAATAAAGCTTCTTATAAGGGGTAAGGTGATTTAATCTCTTTTGTTTGACATGAATAATTTGTTCTCTGATGGTGGATATAAAATGACCTATCAGTTAATAAATTCTGTGAGCATGTAAAGATTTATTTAAGAAACAAGAGGTAGCCCTGGCCGTTTGGCTCAGTTGACTGCAGTGCTGTTCCGTACATGAAAAGGTGGCGGGTTTGATTCCCAGTCAGGGCACATACCCAGGCTGCATTAGATCCCAGGTTGGAGCGCATTCAGGAGGCAACCGATCGATGCTTCTCTCTTTGCGTCGATGTTTCCCACCCCCTCTTCATCCTCCCTCTCTAAAAAAAAATCAATAAAAAGGCATATCCTCAAGTGAGGATTAAAAAAGAAGAAAAGAAACACAAGGTAGTCATAATGATGAGAAAAAAACTGTATTTGAGAAACTTAAAGATTATTCTCTAAAGTGTCTAGGAGACTAACCATGGAGACAGAATACACAAAGCTCTGAAGTTATGCTGTAAACGAGCGTGTAGTAACAACTAATTATTTATAAAGTTCACTACATGTTGATTCTGTTTTGATATGAGAATTTCTTCAGGATTCATGTTTGTTGGCAAATAGAAATAGAATTTTATGAGCCAGAAATAATTAAGGTGTGTGTGTGTGTGTGTGTGTGTAATTGGATGATGGAGAGAATAATACTTTAGTCGTCAGATTAGTTTTTGCTTTTAAATGTTTTTCCAATCCCTGTTTCTTAACAGTTTCTTAAGAATGCACCTATATTTATGTTCAAGAAAAGCTTCATAATGAAATTAATTTTTTAGAGCATTAAAGAACAGTAAAGGCTTCATGGTTTCGTGGTGCAGAAAAACAGCCAATGCTCAATTCTTGTGTGACTGAAATAATAAAATGTATTTGCTGTAGATAAGAAAAACTGAATAGTTTCCAAGGCTAGAATGTCTACACACAATAGTTGAGAAACTTTTCTTCTTTTACTTTTTCAGACAATTGTAACTTTGTTAGCTTTTAGCAGAGTTGACTACTTGGCTGCGTGGCAAATACTAAGTTAACAGATGCTTTTTTTTTTTTTTTTTTTTTATAAATAATGAACTCTTATCATTTGACAGATATTCCTGACCATTTTGTATCTTGTGGTCATTAGAGAATATGATGAAAGCTACATACTGTTTCTTCAAAAAACATTTTGCATAAAAGTTTGCATAAATTCCAGAGGATTTGTGGTTTTTTTAAACTGGAGCTGTGCTGTAGGAGATACAAATCAAGTAGAAGAAATGTGACCTATTGTCAAGGAGCTGAAAGGACACTCAAGACATAGATGTCTGAATAAGTAGGCCACCTATTCTAAGCAACGATTGAGTAAATACAAGGCCCTGAATTGTAGAGTAAGTGCTGTGGGCATTCAGAGAAGGGATGCTCATTAGGGAATGCAATACAGAGGGTTTGGTAGGAAAGATGGGGCTTAGCTGAACTAAAATGGTATATAGATATTCTCTCTTTCAGATATATAGGGCTTGCAGTGTGGCCAGGAAGGGGACAAGAAGTAATGATAGCAAACTAAGAGAACATGATGTGTACAAGAAGAATTAGAGTATTTACATTGGAGGTGACTGTGGATGGGCATATATTTAAGGAGAAGTGGAAATAAGAAGATTATGCCATTATAGAATAAACTTTGTGCTAGGTATTTAAACAAATAGTGTAACTTTGCAATCAGTAAAGAAACTGGCAGCCATTTTTTTTAGCTCTACTAATGTCACTTCTGAGATACTGTATTATGTTTAAGAGAATCTCTTCATTTTCATGCTGGTCTGTGATTACAAATGTACTCTATAGGTTTTTATAATAAATAGAAAATTCATCTCCAGTCATCTAGACAGAACAAAAAATAGATATGAAATGTTAGGACTTGCATTTGAGAAAATGTAAACAAATATCTGTAGCTTTCCCAGATACTTGTACTACTTATTCTAACAATTAAGATTTTGTTATCATCATTATTAAATAAAGTTATTATTGTTGTTATACTTTAATGTTATATCAATATTATTATGTTTATACTATACATTAAAATTAAATTCTTTTTTCTTCTTAGAGAGTGGAAGGGAGGCGGGGGAGGGAAGAGAGAGAGAGAGAGAGAGAGAAAGAGCGAGAAACATCAGTGTGAGAATGACACATTGATTGGTTGCTTCCTGCTTGTGCTCTGAATTGAACCTGCAACCCAGGTGTGTGCCCTTGACTGGGAATTGAACCCACAGCCCTTCTGTGTGCAGGCCAACGCTCTAACCACTAAACTACACTGGCCAGGGCTAAAATAAAATTCTTTATTAAATTATTGTATTTATTATAAATACTACCTTTTTTTGGTTTGTTTTGTTTTGAAACAATGATTCATTATTTTTCACAACTCTGTGGGTTGACTGGGTGGTCCTTCTGCTGCGGTGTTTGCTGTCCCCTATGTAGCTCTTTTCAGATAGTGGCAGGGCAGGGCCAGAAGGTCCATGATGGCTTTTTTCACAAGTCTGGGGTCTTGGTGCTGACTGTTGGCTGGGCGTCTCTAATCTTTTCCACATGGTGTCTCATCTTCCAGGGACTTGCTGTATGCCCACCAAGGTGACCTCTATTTAGATTTCTGGAGCTCTTTTCTGTGTAGCTTCTTCTTCTTCAGTACATACACATTCCAGCTGCACAGTCTCCAGAACTCTATAATCTTTTTTTTCTTTCTTTTTAAAACATTTTATTTATTTATTTTTATTACATTATTTCTCGTTTTTCCCCATTGACACCCTTCTCCTAGTCCCCCCCTTTATCTTTTGAACTCAGTGGGACTGTTCTGCTGTGTTGGCTTTCCTTTCCTGTCTGCAGTCATCAGGCAGAGCTGTGGTAATGGTAGAGTTCATCCCTTTTGTTTCTCTGATATCAGGAATCATAATCCTGCACTGCCTACTGTGCAGAGTCTAGGAACAGAATCTTCCTTCCCCCTTAAAACAGTTTTGTTGTTGTTTACAGTGGAAGAAGAAGTCCATTCCAGGAACTCCATCATGGCCAGAAATCGAAGTCCTATTCCTTTTTATATACCCTTCGTGCTTACTTTTCTCATTTATTACTATCTGGGTCCCCCCTCCCCCCGGTTTTATTACTTTCTACTTGTCCTTTGCTTTCTACTTGTTTTATATATAACAGTTAAAGAGCCTATTTTATTTTATATTTTGTCCCCTTTACAGTTTCCATATTTTTGGATGCATTAATTTTACTCTTTCAGAACATTTAACATGTACATATTCTTCCCTATCTTTGTTTTAGTCTTAGATTTGCAATTGAATATATTAATTCTTTTGCCAAAGGTTCCCCCATTATCTCCTGGTTGGATGAAGCTTCTCCTATGGTAGATTTTCCCCAGAAGGGCTCATATGTAGTATTCCTTTGGTTCCTGTGTATTCAGAACTGTTTTCCTGTACCTTAGATTCTTGAAGGGCAGCTTGGCTGGACATGAAATCTTCAGGTTATTTTTAATGGTGCTCCATTGTTGCCTTGTTTTATTTGTTGCTTTTGAGGAGTCTGATGTCACTCTGATGACCTTTCTCAAAGTTATGGATCTTTATCCTTGAGGCCGACCTAATAATTTTGCTAGGATAGGCCTCAGTGTTACTAATGCCAGGTCAGCTTTCCTATGTAGCTGGTGGGCCTTATGTATATTCAGATTTTCTTTTATTTTTAAGGATTATGATTTTATTTTATTAAAATTTTTAAAAAATTTTTTATTGTTTTTTTTTTTTTTTTTTTAGAGGGGGTAAGGGAGAGAGAGATAGAAAATTGGTGTGAGAGACACACATTGATCAGCTGCCTCCTGCACACCCCCCACCCGGGATTGAGGCTGCAGCCCGGGCGTATGCCCTGACCAGGAATTGAACCGGGACCTCTCAGTCCCTGGGAAGATGCTCAGTCCACTGATCGAGCCATACCGGCTAGGCAAGGATTATGATTTTAAATATTAGTTCTCATTCACTGTTTTGTTTTGTTTTTCTTCACGTGCTCCAATTATATGTAAACCGGGTCTTTTTCTGTCTTTCAACCATTGTCCATTTTAAGTTCTTGCTTGCTTTTCATTCTCTTGGTTTTTTTCCTCCCTTTTTTCTGTGCCTCTCTCTTAGTAAATTTGTATTCGAATATCTTTATCTTTGGGTACCTTATAATTTAGTCTTTATTTCTTATATGATTTTAATTTTTTCCTTACATTTCTTTTAAATTTAATCTTTTACCTTATTTTATAATGTTTGTTGTCCATTTATATGCTTAGTTTTTGAATTTCAGGTTCAACATGTTTGTTCCATATCCTAAAATTCTTGAGTGTTATATTATAGTTTTCTTCTGTTTGCTATTTGTTTTGGGGAACTTCCATTTATTTTATTATTACTATTATTTTTTTATCCTCACCGGAGGACATTTTTCCATTCTTTGTTCAGATAGAGCAGGAGGGAGAGAGAGGTAGAGAGGGAGAGAAACATCGACGTGAAAGGGACACATTGAGTGGTTGCCACCCACACGACCCAACCAGGGCCAGGGACAAACTGCAACCGAGGTATATGCCCTTAGCAGGAACCAAACCTGG